TAGGCACCACTGTGACCCAGCACTGTGTCTATTAATGTTAAGCAGGGTTCATCAACTTACAGACCAGAAAGCTCATGAATTAGGAGGAAAAGTAAATAAGATCTTTATTTTCATAGCATTCTAACTAAATTTAACATTGCACTCCATTATGAAGGCAGCATAAACCCAAAATTAATATCCATAATTTTGCCTTTACCATGAGAAATCAGACATTTTATATTATATTATTATTGATATCATGAAATACTGTTTACACCCAAAACTCCTTTGAAACTGGGCCTTCTACTAGATCTTGTTTAATGTGTTAATAAAGATGCACATATATACTCCAAATTTTTAGAATTTTGATAATCATAATTTAACATCATGTGTTTCCTTGGTAATCCTATGCATTTTATACATTTAAAAATATCTTTCTGAGAAGAGTTCCACAGGTTTTACCAGTAAGGTTTATAGTGAAGTGTGCATGCATGCACACACACATACAGACACACAGACACACACACACACACACACACACACACAGAGTAAAAACCATTCAGCAGGCCAGTGTTGACATTAGTACCTGAGATATAAGAGTACAATGGGAAAGTTTTCCTAAAGATACATCCAGGAGCATCACGCCCCGTCCCTCTAGTGTTGCTCCCACTGGACGCCCACGCCCACGTGGTGGGAGTCCTTACTTGCTAGCGAAGCTTCATCCTCCTGGCGATGCCCAGTGGTTCGTGGGGTGTGTGACTGACTGCCCCGGAACTGGACCCACTGCCGACTGTGGAGCCTGGGATCTTGTGTGGTATCAGAGGTGACATTCCCTTCGGCCAGCGTGACAAGTGGGACCACCTTGCGCTGCCCTGGAAGGCTAAGCTTGGGTTTCTTCATCAGGTAGGAGGTGGACGTCCAGGACCACAGAGTCTCCAGGTCATCTTCTGGGCTCCAGTCGGCACCCTTCTTCCCAGCCACCCCGGGATGAGATTTCTCTTGTGTCTGCGGGCTGCCTATCCCATCTCTAGCACTGCACCCTGATGCTGAGCAGGAAGAAGGATAAAAGCAAAGGTCAGAAAGTCATCAACTGAAGGAGGTCTCTCTCATCCTTTTAAACTTTTACCATGGACTAATTTCAAAAGACAAGAATTGGAACTGAGACTTCCAGGAGAACATGGAGAATAGATAACAGCAGCTACGGAGGCTCTCTGAGATAGCCAGCTTAGCTGCCAGGAATGGTCCAGTGTGGGGAGTCCTAAGCAGAGGGAGATATGCCCTGCCAACCCAGGAACAAACTAAGCTGAGAGAAACCAACTGAAAATGCAATCCCGATGCTATGAACAAACCAGAACAGAAAAAAATCTCAGTGCCGACGCTGGAACCCACACCTTTGGAAACCGTGATTTGTATTTCCTGCCACCACTGCTGCGTCTGAATCAGCACAGCAGAGATAGAAATGCGAAGGCTCTGATAGTGGGAATCTGCAAACTGAATTGAGAGTGGGATTGGCGGGGAGCCCTGCATCGACCTGTGGTGAGTGAGAGTAACGGGGACCCTTCCATAGACAAGGAGGCTCCAACAGAGGACATTCTGGGACCAGGCTGACTAGCCAGAACAGGACGCTGCAGTGACTTTAGTCACATATTCCCCTCTCAAGTGGGATTGGTGTGGAGCGCTGACCTGGGTGACGCTATGGACTAAGACCCCATAGGCTAGCCCAAGCCAGGTCACAGCACCTGGTGATGCACCCTAGCAGTGAAGCCTTCAGAAGGCTGACCTGGAGGGGCGGGCCCAACATAGGCTGCCCAGATCTATTTCTCCCTAGTACATTGCAGTGGGTGGGAACACCTAGCTGGTGGATTCAAACAAACTGTAACCCACAAAGAAAGAAACTGGGCCTCCTATATACGCCTATATGGAAGGAACAAAAAGTATGAGAAGAGGAGGTAACAAGAAAGGATCCTCGGTCCCCAATCCCGAGAACACTGATCCAGGAAAGGTAAATGCAAAGGAGAATGAGGACAGAAAACATGCAGTATCAGACATGGCACCAATAGACATAAAGTGATATCTCCGGAGCCTCATAGACGAGTTCAAAAGTGAAGTATTTAACAAAGTAAAGCAAGATATAAGTAGAACAGTTAGAGAAATGCTAAGCACTACCCAAGAAAAAACAGATGGTGGAATGGAAGAACAGAAAAAAGAGGAGAATTGTTTGATGGAGAAAATAGAGAAAACATAGAATATGTGAAGCAGGTTCAAAGAGATTACCAGGAAACTAAAAATTCTATTGAAAGCTGGCATAACAGCTTGAAAGAAACTAAGGATAGATTATCTGAACTGGAGGACAGATTTGTAATGTGGGAGCATGAAATGAAAAACTTCTTAAAACTAACAAGGAAACAAACAGCAATAATACAAAGGCTAGAAGATGGTAAGAGGATCTATAACTTAAGAATTAAGAATGTAAAGGAAGAAGTAGGGACACAAACAAATGAACTACAAAGGCTATTCACAGAAATAATCCAGGAGAGTTTTCCTAATTTAGTAAAAGGTAAAGATACTCAGATATATGAGGCATACAGGACCCCAGCCACCTACAACCCAAACAGAGCTACACCCAGGCATGTAATAATCAAAATTCCAGAAATCCAATATAAGAACAGAATATTAAAAGCCATCAGAGGGGCTGGAGGTTTAGCTCAGCGGCATAAGCGCCTGCCTTGGAAGCAGGCTGTCGTGAGTTCGATCCCCGGTACCGATAAAAAGGAAAAAGACAAAAAAAAAAAAAAAAAAAAAAAAAAGCCATCAGAGACAAGGAACAGATCACTTACAAGGGAACACCCATCAGAATTACAGCAGACTTCTCGGCACAAACCATCAAATCACGAAGAGCGTGGGGGGAAATAATTCAAGCTTTGAAAAATAATAACCTTCAGCCAAGATTGATATATCCTGTACAACTGTCCCTAGAAATTAATGGAAAAACAAGGTGCTTCCATGATAAAGAGGAACTAGGGGAATATGCAACCACCAATTCAACTCTACAGAAAATACTGCAGGATATTCTAAAAAAGAAAAATACAAAGAATCCAGAAATAGTGGCAGAGAGGCCACAATGAATGGAGCAGAAAGTGAAATGAAGAAGACAAACTGACAACTAATGACAGAAAAAGAGCTCAACAGAAATGAGACAGAGAAGATCGGATGGTAGGAACAGCTATTTTGGAGAAAAGAAGACATCACAATAGCTAATGCTGATTTAATATCATCTTGTTTTGAAGTCCCATCAAGCTTTTGTTCTTATGTCTCAATCAGTCTTAACATGTTGTATATCATTGGATTTTATTATATGTGATAATATAAACAAAAACTTTTATAGACAAGGAGATTATGCAGAAACCATTGTTCATTTTCTGTTAGTTGGTTCTAAATACTTTGTAATACTGTCATTCTCTTGAATGGTTTTACATTGTCTTGATATGTTTGATGCTACAGTATATGAAGTTATACTCAAAGATTTCAAGGAAAGAGACACTATGGTAACTACTTTTATGTCGGGATATCTTGTGGTGAAACACAACTTTGCTTAAATGGTTATGTTTTGACCTGTGCTGTTTGTTGTTATGTCCTCTTTTATCTCAATCTCCTTTTTTATTATTTACTTTTTTATTTTTATCTTTTTAATTAAGGGAAAAAATAAATTAAAAAATAGCAGGATTATATTATAGTAACCCACTTTGATTTTCTATTAACTTGATGTGAAACCCTGTATTGCTCTCACCATCTTGTTTTGACTGATATTCCTCTATTCTGTTCTGCTTGATAGTACCAAGTTTGAGAATATAGGCAACAACTGTGAAGACAATAAGATTCACTATGATGCCCATTCTGGTTTAACTATTATCTTCTTTTGAAGTCCTGTAATGTGTCAGTGTTTTGGTTTTATTGGTTTTGTTCTTTACTGTTTTGTTCAATTTTGATATAGGCAATTCTTTTTAAGATAGCAAGAGGCATTATGATAACCATTGTTGATCACCTTGTATTCTGTTTTTACATTATATATTATGTCCACCCTTTTGATTTGACTGACTCTGTTTTGTTATGTCACATTTGGTTTTATTCTCTTCAGAAAAAGTAATAAGAATTGTGGGAGTAATAAAACCCAAAACGTGTAATTGTCATTGTAAAAAACTAGAGGAAAAGAAAATGCTCTAAAGGATATAACTGCATGTATATTTAAGTGTATAAGATAGATAACCATATTACTGAGTTTTGTTGGATTATTGAACAGAACTGTTTGCAGTCTCACTGTATGAATGTCCACTTTATATGCTTTAATTTTGTAACTTGAACAACTATTTCTAAGATGACAATATGTAATCTATTAACTAGTGATTTCCTACTGTTTATTTTTTCTGAAATTCTGTATAACTTGTACCCTTTTTCTGTTTTTTTTTTCTTTTTCTCCTTAAAAAAAAAGATACATCCACATGTGTTTCAAAGCTGAGCAAAGGAAGAATCTTTGCTTTCAGCAGCTTCTATGGGAATGTCTGAAGCCAAGGAATGATCTCGTGCTTAATCTTCTGGCTGGTGATTGTCCCTGTTCCTGCTGCAGGGACAGGACCCTGTCTTAGGCATGTCTTTGTCCCTGGCTCCTTGCATACCTCCTGGCACAGAGCAGCCTACAGAGGGACTGGAGATTCAAACTAGAAATCTTGTCTGAATCAGCATACAAGTATTTCTGTGGAATGAGGTACATGTGTATGTGCATGTATTGGCACACATGTGTGCACAAGAGTAGAAATATAGAAGGTATTATTGGGGTGGAGGGTGCATATAGTGGGCATTCTTTAAAAGAAAAAAGAAAGAAATTCTAAGCACACTTCTGGAAGATTGTTTTCTGAGATTCTAGCTGGCAGTGTGAGAGCAACCCCCCTGTGCAGCTCCACCCAGCCCCACGTGGCCACCTTTTTCTCCCCCATGCAGGGTGATCCCCAGGATACATAAACCTCTCTCAGGCTCAGGCACGAGCCAATAGGCCCACCCACCCATACACCCACAGTGCAGCAGAGTTTTGCAGAGGCAGCCTCCTCCAGCCTCTGTACTGAGGCTCTTCTGTGCACTTGCTGCAGCTGCAGGCCCAATATGCCAGCTGTCCAGCTGCTGTTGCTGGCCTGCATGGTGTGGGGAGCAGGGGCCAAGGCAGCCCAGCTCCGCAAGGCCAATGATCGGAGTGGCCGGTGCCAGTACACCTTCAGTGTGGCCAGTCCCAATGAATCCAGCTGCCCTGAGCCGGGCCAGGCCATGTCAGCCATCCAGGACCTACAGAGAGACAGCAGTACCCAGCGTGCAGAGCTGGAGTCCACCAAAGCCCGGCTTAGCTCCCTGGAGAGCCTCCTCCAGCGGCTGAACTTGGACCAGGCTGCTGGGCCCCAGGAGGCCCAGGAAGGGCTGCAGAGGGAGCTGGGTGCCCTCAGGAAGGACCGGGACCGGCTGGAGACCCAAGCCAGAGAGCTGGAGGTGGCCTATAGCAATCTCCTTCGGGACAAATCGGCACTGGAGGAAGAGAAGAGGCGACTGGGACAGGAGAATGAGGAGCTGGCCAGGAGGCTGGAAAGCAGCAGCCAGGAGGCAGCAAGGCTGAGAAGGGGCCAATGTCTCCAGGCCGGGGGCCCCTCTCAGGACCTGCTGTCGGGCTCCCGGGAAGGTAAGGATGCAGGGGGTGGTGACCCTGTTTCTGGTGTGTCTATCCAAGGCAAAGTTCCGGTAGTCCCTAGCATGTGTGGGGAGCAGGGACCAAGGCAGCCCAGCTCCTCAAAGCTAGTGAAAGGAGTGGCCAGCAAGATGAGGATAGATCTATGAAATGATAATAAATGATGATTTTGTTGTTGTTCTTTTTTTTCTTTTTTTTTTTTTTTTCTTTTTTATCGGTACCGGGGATCGAACTCACAATTGCCTGCTTGCAAGGCAGGCACTTATGCTGCTGAGCTAAATCCCCAACCCCTTTGTTGTTGTTCTTAATATCCTTCTTTGCCAAAACAAAGAGGTAGTAGCTCTGTTAGTTCTCTCAATATGTTGTTTTAGAAGTTGTCTTTCTTCTTGTTCAGTATGAGACCCCCTACTTTTAGGTCCAGAGACAGCTTTGATCAGGTGCTTTTCTGCTCATCTCTGCCCTCTCCTGCTTGAAGGAGGCTTATGAATGTGGGCTAAGAAAGAGCACACCCTTCTCATTAGCCGAGAGACAGTGTTTGTGTCACTTTTTTTGTGAAAGTTGTGCTCTCAAATATTCACTGTTTAGTAAGTGTTTTAATCACGAAGAAATAAGCATGTCCAACTGTGGCACAAGTAGACTAAATTCTTCAGCATATGAAAGAAAGAAAAAGAACGAAGGAAGGAGATTAGAGATTGAGTCAAAGGAGACTAAGAAGTGTACAGTCCTTTAATTCCCTCCTGCATGCAGAGGGAATCCTCCAAAGTGATGAAATGTGAGCACAGACTGTTAATCAGACTATGTTATTGGCTGCATGCTCTAATTTTGGGGGTGAAACAATAGGATTAGAGCTATGAAGAAGAATATCCTTTTTCTAGGAAAATTTGCATTCAAGTCCTTAAGGCTGAGGTGTCAGGGTATTTCTGACTTGCTTTAAAATGGCTCAGTAAAGACCCAACAGAGAGAAGAAGAGAGGCCAAATGAATGTAGCAAAACAGTAACAATGGTGAACGTCAGTGAGGATTCCTGGGCTGTTATCTTTCCATAGGTTTGAAACATCACCAAAATAACAGGAAGGGAACACACCCAACTCTGAAAAAACAAACTTTCTACACAAAAGGCAACTTGCTCCGATCTGTAGGTGGCCATGCCTGGTCGTGCCCTGCAGCAAGTTGTTTAACTCTCTGCATCTGCGTTTCTTATTCACAACAGGACAAAGAAAAGTCTGGGAATGAGTAATAATTCTTACAGGCTCAAGTCAAATACTAACAGGTGCACAGAATTCTTTTTTTTCAAAAAATCCAACAGGTCCAGCATCAGAAAGGATCCAATTCTGAGTTTTACAATAAGGAAAGTGACCTCCTAAGATACTGAGCTGTCCCAGGCAGCACAGCCAATCAGGTCAGGGACTTGCACGTGAGTCTGTGAGGATAAATAAGGCATTACTGCTACCATTAGTATTATGAAGCATTATTAATAATTAATTAAGCATTAATAATTATTATTTCAGACCATTGACCGAATGAAGTGACACACTAAACAAAAAACATACACATAGAGATGTGTATGTAATAAGAAAACAAAGACAATGTTAAACATTGTCTTGCGGTCACTGAACACATCTTTGGGAATCCATTAGATGTGTTGTCTAATTTTGTTATTTCTTTGTGTCCCTTCCAGCTGCTCTACTTGTGAGACAGGGAACTATCCTGTTATAATACATTCCAAACTTGGAAGTTCTTTTCTGGTAGTGGATCATCTTCAAACAGGAAATCACATTAGAAGGAGAATGCAGGACTGGAAAGAGACCTATCAAGCATCCAGTGCCACCAGCTCATTTTTGCAAATGTTAACATTGAGGCCCAGAGGTGATGCAGTAGTCTACGCTACCTTGCCATTTAGCGACAGACCTGCCCCTAGCGTTCTGCTCTCTCCCAAAGGGCCAGTGACTTGCAGGCCCCTAGCTTTAGTTTATAGACCCTGAAGAGACAAACAGGTACAGAAATGCTTGAAACAAAACATCTGTTTCAACACCCTAGATTTGGGGACAAGAAATATTTTGAGGGGCTGGAATTTAAGTGTGGGCAGGAGTGCCAAGCCCTGAAGTGTTGAGGTTTGGTGCATGAGGCTTAGATAGAGGTAAGGATGAGAAAGTGGCATTTTCCTTACCACCCCCATTGTTCAAATTGTCACCACCACTGTGTTTTGTAGTTGTTACATGAGAAAGTCTCCTTAGAATTATGGAAATCACCTGTTTATACATACATACATACATGATAGGAAACATTTCACTGCACACAATTGCAAGCCCAAAGCAGGAAAAAAGTTCAACTTAGCCTAAAGATAAACTACAGCTGGTTATTACCATCCCAAGAAAAATCCCACATCCTCCCTTGCTCATCCTCTTCCCCCAGGTGGGTCTCCCAGAGGAGTGAGCCTGGGGCGAGGGCTTATGTGAGGTGATTTAGATGGGCCAGGATACCTAGGAGGAAAAATGGGGATAGAGGAGAGTCTTGAGGGGAGGAATAAAAAAGGGGCTTTTCTTAAATTGGTCACCACTGTGGGCAATAAAGCTCACTGCCGCCCTTCAGAGGGATGCGTGACAGAAAAGGGGAGCTTTATCCACAGATGTATGAAGGGTGTCTGTCCCCCAGAGCACAGTACTCATCCTCACACAGGATGTGGGTGCTGGGCTGGTTCTTGCAGACTTCCTACGCAGTCACATTGCTGGGTCGGGTAGCAGGAGCCATGTGGGAGAGTACAGGCAGGATGGGCTGACCAGAGGTGTCTGAAACAGGCTGCAGATCTCCTGGTCCCCTGATGGGGTTGGATGCTGAGCCATCTGGGTTATTCTGCAGATCAGCTCAGTGCCTGGTGGAATGCCACTCAATAAAAAGATTACGGCTACAAAGAGCTTCTTTCACTGAAGTTCCATCCTTGTAAAATGTCCTTCCGTGATCAAAATATATGTAACATTTCTACAACATGACCTGCTCCTGGGGGTGGTACCTGTCAGCACAGCAGCCAGGACAATAGTCTACTGGCCAATGTTCACTTTTTTAAAGTGTTTGTGACACTCTTCTTTCTCTTTAGTCTCATCTAAATAAGAATGACCTTTACTACGACAGCAAATATTCATAAAAATCATTAAAATATCATTTGCATATGGATGCAGATGAGTTAATAAATTCTGCGTCTACATCAAGCTCTCTAGATCTAGAATATAAGTCTAGCAGAGGCTCAGGCAGAGTGTGCATAAAACTTCCAAAAAAATTTTAATAGACATCAAGGGACTGAATTTTAATAAAGAAAACAGAGCCAGGCTTGTGATCTCAGCTACTCAGGAGGCAGAGGCAGGAAAATGGCAAGTTTGATGCAAGCCCAGGCAGCTTAGTGAGACCGTGCACAAAATTAAAAATAACTCAACAGCCTCTAGGGGTATAACTCATTGCTCCTTTGGTTTACTCCCCATACTCTTTCCAAAAAGCCTTAAAATCTTTAACTGTCCAGTATAATAGTTTATATTTTCATAATCCCTTTTTTGTTTTGCCTCCACATTCAGAATGTAATGTTAGGTTTTGAAATATTCCAGAGGATTTTGAGTTTTGACATTCCCCTGCTGAGGACCCTATCACTTTAAGTAATTTTCAGAAAAAAACCTGGTAACATTTATGCAACTCAGAATAGGGCTCAGAGCTGGCAGGTGGAACGGTTGGAGCAGGAGCCTACTGGCCGCTTCTTGGTCAGGTCAGCCAGGAGCATCTGGCAGCAAGCAGCCTCCCAAAGCAGAGCCATCTGGCGTGAGGACCGAAAGCAAGGGCACGTTTGTGTGAAGGGGCCTGGACTGAGCCAGAAGGTGCAACTTCCTAGCTCGGTCTTGCTGTGTCTGGGATGCGTGACTTTGGGCAAATGATCCACCTGCCAGCTGGGAGCTGGACCTGCAGTCCTTCAGGAGGCCTTTCCCTGACATGTTTTACTGTGGTTCTCATTTACTCCAAGGAACGTGTGCACGGTGTGGTCCCTGCAAAGAGCAAGGGAAGACGGAGGGAGCACTGCATGAGTTTGGGGGGCCATGGAAGCATCAGGGCAGGAACTCACCCCTGGCCAGGCATCTGTGCCATCTCTTCTGTGGCAGTAGAGATGGAAGAACTGATGGGAGGACAGAGCTCGGGCTTCGGAGCTGGGAATTGTGTTTATTGGGCAGCTCCCTGGGATCTGAGTGGGTCACTCCCAAGGATCTTAAGCAGCTTCCCAGGCTCCAGGAGCAGTGCAGGCCCAGTGAGGCAGAGAACCGCACAGCAGGTAAAGTCAGGGAAGTTCTGTATAAAGATTTGTCAACTCTGATGAAAGAAAGTGCAAGATGTAAGTAAACTTTATACGGCCCCTTTGGAGTAAAGTAGGTATGGGGGAAACTTGGGGGTGGGGTCAGATCTCACTGGGGAAGACAGAGTTCAGCGGGCCAGAGAGCAGAGGTGGAGGCAGGTCTGCAGCTGTGACAGGACCGTCCCAGTGCAGGTGGGGAGGTGACCTGCAGCACAGTGGCAGTGAGTGAGCACAAGGCAGGGAGTCTGGTTTCCTCATTAAAGGGCTCTGGCTAGTTTGTGGCCAGGATGAGGTTGTTGGATCACAGAGGAAACATGTTCCCGGTCTGTGGCTGGGTCAGGGGTCTGGATGTCCTCACACACACACACACAGATGACCACAAGAGGCCGCAGAAACAGACTTCCCTTCTCCCACGGTGTCCCTCCAGGATTCCCTACTGAGACAGTTCAACACCGGCTCACTGTCAAAGGAGAAATATGCCTTGTTGTTCAGAGGGCTTCTGTGGACGTGATCAGCTCTGAGAGGCAATAAAGACATTTGCAATGGGCACAGCTCCCCACCCCTGGGGAGAAGGGTTCACACCTGCCATGGACTTGAAAAACATGGGTTCGAGTTCCAGCCCCACCACTTGCTAGCTGAGTGTTTTTTGTCGGAATGTAAAGTGTCCTTCAAAAGGCTCATGTGTTCAGAGGCTTCTAGAAGGTGATTGGATCACTGGGGCTATAACTTCACCAGTAAATCAATCCATTGACGGACTCATAATTACAGGGTATTACGGAAAGTGACAGAGACTTGGAAGGTGGGGCTAGGTCAGGGGAGTGGGCCACGGGGCTGTGACCCTGGGACTGTACCTTATCCTGGGCCTTTCCCTCTCCTGCTCTCCTTCCGGGATGCTCTGGGGTGAGCAGCTCTTTCCTGTCTGTCATCATGTTCCTCCACTCTGACATTCTGCCTCCCACAGAGCCACAAAAATAAACTGCACTGAAGCCATGGACTGGAATCTCTGAAACTGTGAGCCAAAATGAACCTTTTCTCCGCTAACTTGTTTTTCTCAGGTGCTTTGTCACAGCAACAGAAAGCTGACACAGTGGGCAGTCACTTAGGCCTTCTGGACTCTGCTATCCTTTGAACATGTGGATAACGGAGTGCACTTGCAAAACTTATGTGAAATAGAGGTAATGAATAACCACACCAAACATAGCACCAGGGTCACACTGAGAAAGTGGTGGCAATAGCTGAACTTCTTTAGGTGCAGGTGGAAGTCCTTACTTTACTTCTCTGAAACTTTGAAGGCACCACGTCACATAATTTCTATTTAAAAAAATTTTTTTTTGTCTTTTTGAGACAGGGTCTCACCAGGCAGTTCAAGCTGTCCTTGGACTCACTTTTAGCCCAGGCTACAACAACCCTCCTGCCTCAGCCTCCTGAGTGCTGGGATTACAGGAGTGCACCACCACTCTTAGGAAAAAAGTTGTTTTAAATATGAAAGGACCTGTCCATGTCTGTGGATTATCTCTTTTTATATTCTCTCTCTCTCTCTCTCCCTTCCTCCCTGTCTCTCTTGTTTTTCAGTGCTTAATATCTTAGCTATCTTGAAATAAGTCTTCTGAGTAAACACCTAGATTTCTAATTATTTGTTTCTTCCTGCTTCCTTCATTTCTCAGTGGCTAAAGAGGGCATTTCTTAATTTTCTTTTTACTGTGTACTCCTACTTTTCTTAATAGACATATTTTTTCTCAGGTAAGTCACTGCAGTAAATAACCATCCTAGCTACAGAATACAGTAGCCTGTGCAGGTGCATAGAGGAAGGAAGTGTGAGGTGCGGGCAGAGGTGGCTCTCAGTGTCCCTCATGTAGCCACCAAGGCCCATAGCTGAAGGCAGGGAGCGGGGAGGGTGGGTTCTTTTTGACATCATCACCATGGTACTCTCCCTGCATGTGGCCTGAACCCGGCTTCTGGATGATGAGAGGCAGGGGAACCAATGAAAGACAGAGCATTAAGTTGTCCTCAGCAGCTGTCTGCCAAAGTCCAAGAAAAGGCACAAATGAAAGAAAAATAACCAAACCCAAGGAACTTGTTCAGTGGCCCTATGAGGACAACATATTCACTCAGATCCAGTTTATGACTGGGTTCCCTCTTGCTGTTACATATTCTGTTGTTTTAACAAACAATGACAGGTATCTACCATTAGTCATTGCACTGCCCTATGAATCCCCTGTGCTCCATACATTTCCCTGGTAATCACTGATCTTTCTACCTTCCCCACAGTTTTGCCTCAAACCACGGGCATGTGTGGTGCTGGGAAGCCTTGAACCCGGGGCTTCTGTACACTAGGCGGCCACTTTGCTGCTGAGCTACAGCCCCACCCCTCAGACGATCTTTGCAGTGGCAACGGCCTCCTCATCTATGGGCCTCGTTATACCTGAAGAGTAATCAAACCTACATTTAAAAATCAGTCCTGAGAGGCTGGGGGTTTAGCTCAGCGGCATAAGTGCCTGCCTTGCAAGCAGGCAGTCATGTGTTCGATCCCCGGTACCGATAAAAAGGAAAAAGACAAAAAAAAAAAAAAAAAAAAAAAAAAAAAAAAAAAAAAAAAATCAGTCCTGTTCCTTGTGGCCACTGCTTCCTCCTTAGATTTAACAACTGCTATAAAATCGGAGTCCTAAGCAAAATAGGGAAGTGTGGCACACTGGGAAGACTTCACTTCTTTGGCATCTCTCTCTCTCTCTCTCTCTCTCTCTCTCTCTCTCTCTCTCACACACACACACACACACACACACACACACAGGTGTGTACCCCTTTCCTTTCCCACTACTCAGATGTCTGCAAAATTCCCATCAGAGCCCCACACCCGGCTCTCTATTCCTCATGGAAAATGGGCCTCAGAAATGCATCTGATGGAACATTTTTTCATATTAATTTAAAACTTAATATGCTACTAACAACATATTTCAAAATACCTAGAAAGGATTTTGCATATTCCTAGCAGAAAGAAATATAAATATCTAAGGTGATAGATACGCAAATTACTGATTTTATTTTTGTAGTCCAAGGGGACCTCAAACTTATGATCCACCTACCTCAGTCTCCCAAATACTGAGATTACAGGAGTGTGCCAACACACTTGCTACAATCTAAGCTCATTATTCTACATTGTATATGTGTATTGAAAAGTCACACTCTATCCCATCAATATATACAGCTATTATATGTCAGTTGAAAACAAGAATATATGTAAAAAACAAAAAAAGTTAGTTTTTAGAAAATATTTGCTATGACAAGAGAAAACCCTTAAGTGAAACAGCACATTTTTAATTGTTGAAATTCTGACATTTAAGAGGATGCCAAGGACCTGCTTAATATCCCTGAAATCAACTCACCTATTCTTATTTTTCTTATCACAGTACAATTTTGTCTCTTTAATATAGTTCCTCAGTGGAATTTAGACAACTTGGCCTTCCAAGAGCTGAAGTCAGAGTTAACTGAAGTCCCTGCTTCCGGAATCCTGCAGGAGAGCCCCTCGGACCGGCCCAGGACCGGAGAGGGAGACGGTGGTATGAAGTTGGGTTTCTTCCCCTTTGAGCACACGTGGTCCTTGCCTGGTGGACTTAGTTCTGTGACCCTGGTTGAGACAGTTTAAACGGAGTGGAGTGGGGGGACTTCACTGAGAGCAGAGGCAGGGGAAGGGTGAGAAAGAGCACCCCATCTGCTTTTCTGTCAGGGGGGGTGTGCAGGCAGTCAGCCTTTCACTGGCAAAGCCCCATATCCTCTAGCCCACCCCTGGAAGGCTAAGTTGGGCTACCTCAGGGGGAGAAGGATAGAGGCATTTATTTACCTACTTAATGGTTACACTGCACTAACAGAAGCAGGCAAATCAGCTTTCGGTGGTTCCTTGATGGCTTTACCTTAGGACCAGGTGTAGAGCACACATGTTCTCAACATGACCTATTGTTAACAGTATTTTTGCTGAGTTTTATCTGTCTAGGAAGAGTCCAATTTCTCCCTCTCCAACATCTCCTCACAGAAACCTGGGTTTTCCTCTGGTGCACACCTGTGATCCCAGCAGTGTGGGTGTGTGGGGTGAGGGGGTGGGGCGGAGGCAAGTTCAAGCCCAGCCTAGGCGACTTAGTGAGCCCCGTCTCAAAATTAAAATAGGGCTGGAGGTATAGCTCAGTGTGTGAGGGTCTTGGGGGTCAATCCCCAGTACTGAAAAAAAAAAAAAGAAGGACAAAAACCCCGCTGGTTTCCAGAAACATCGACTATCCATGTCATTGACAATGACCACTCACACTGATGGGATGGGGGTTATGAACTATTTAAAATATGAGATATGGCCAGGAAACAAAATTTACCATCTATGAGGAAATTGAAAGCACCATTTAAAACAGAGATGTAGTTGGATTCTGCTTTATTCAAATTTTCAACCATCATTTCACTATATTTAAAAATTATATTCAAATTTCTTTATATTAAAATGATGCATCCACATAGGGCTTTATATGCCTGTAATCCCAGCACTCAGGAGGCTGAGACAGGAGGATTGCTGTGAGTTTGAGGCCACTCTGGGCTACATAGTGAGTTCAAGGTCAGCATGAACTGCATAGTGAAACTCTGTCTCAAAAAGACAAAAAATATTTATTCTTATAATGATCTGCTTTTTGTCTTTATATTTTAAATAACAAAATAAGTCTTAAAAGTCAGATAGTAATTTAAAGAACACCCACGAGTCCCTGCTGGGCCCACATAGAATAAATTCAGGTGAAACCTGCAGGTGAACCTATCTTCATAACTAGCAATAAATGGAAGTTCAGTTCCTATCGCAGATCAACCACAGAATATTCACTGCGTATTTCATGGATACCAAGCACTTCATGTGTTTAATCACATTTAAAATTTATGAGAGCCTCACTACCCAAAACTCTACCATCCCCTTTACAAATCAGAAAAGTGAGGCTTCAAGACAGACACCTTATTGAGTCACACAGCTGGCAGGTGACTGGATTTAAACCCAGGAGGTTTTTCCTAGGGTCTTAATTTCTCTGACTGTCCTGCTTCTACACTGTTGCTGGGTTTGTGGAAAGATCTTGGATCCGAATTGTTGTGCTCTGTTCATCAGGATGTGGCCGGCTGGTTTGGGTGGGAGAGCCCGTCACTCTGAGGACTGCAGAAACAATCACTGGCAAGTACGGAGTGTGGATGAGAGACCCCAAACCCGTGCACCCCTACACCCAGGAGACCACGTGGAGAATTGACACGGTTGGCGTAGACATCCGCCAGGTCTTTGAATACAGCCTCCTCAGCGACTTCGTGCAGGGCTACCCGTCCAGGGTCCATGTGCTGCCCCGGCCCCTGGAAAGCACAGGAGCTGTGGTGTACGCAGGGAGCCTCTATTTCCAGGCCGCCGAGACCAGAACAGTGATCAGATACGAGCTAAACACAGAGGCAGTGAAGGCTAAGAAGGAAATCCCCGGAGCCGGCTACCATGGACAGTTCCCATATTCTTGGGGCGGCTATACAGACATAGACATGGCTGTGGATGAGACCGGCCTGTGGGTCATTTACAGCACCGAGGAGGCCAAAGGCGCCATTGTCCTCTCCCAGCTGAACCCAGAGAATCTGGAACTTGAACGAACCTGGGAGACCAACATCCGTAAGCAGTCAGTGGCCAATGCCTTCGTCATCTGCGGTACCTTGTACACCATCAGCAGCTACTCCTCAGCCGATGCCACTGTCAACTTTGCTTATGACACAGGCACAGGGCGCAGCACGAGCCTGACCATCCCATTCAAGAACCACTACAAATACACCAGCATGGTTGACTACAACCCCTTGGAGAGGAAGCTGTTTGCCTGGGACAACTTCAACATGGTCACCTATGACATCAAGCTCGCCAAGCTGTGAGAAGTCTCCAGACCTTAGCAGCAAAGGCCAAAGACGATGCCATCCAGGAGCCCAAAGGGGAACGGACTGAAGGGACAGCCAGCCAGCCAGGCCTGCAGCTTTCACTAACCTAGGACACTGCGCGTGGCCACTGTCTGACCACACAAGGACAGGGGTCTGTAGGGTCAGACAACTGCACATCGTAATAGATATTCTTTTTAATGGACTCTTTATCCAAAATAGTTCTAGTTTTATGGCAAGTTGGGGCAAGATATAGAAGGGCTAGGAATTTCTTTGTTACATCCTTGCTCTTGCAATTTGCATGATTGTCATGGGCCATGATCAAAAACAGCACTTCTAAAGGAAGAGGAAACGCTCTTGAAGCCAGGATTGAACATATGTGTGAGATGTACTTGGTGGAATTGGATGCATTATTCAGATACAGATCAGCTGGGCATTATATAACCCTTTGCCCTGTGAAATAAAATTACCTTACACATTATCTTCCTTGAATTTTGTGGGCATTTTTGGTTAAGAGCACAGATTCCAGTATCAGATACTTCCTTTGGGTTGGTAGATATGTGATTCCAAGGTGTATGTGTGTGTGGTTGGTAGATATGTGATTCCAAGGTGTATGTGTGTGTGTGTGCGTGTAGAGTGTGTGTGTGTGTGTGTGATAAAAAGAGTGGGAGAGGAACGGAAGGGCGAACAAACTTGTGGCTTGTGCCTGGTTTTGAGATTTTGCCCAGAAAGACACCAGGCAAACCATGGAATCCACACTTTTTTTTAACTGCATCTCTTCGTGTTCTTGGCCTCTCCTGAAAAATCTTTCCATCTCTCCCTTACTTCACCCTCATTTCCCTTTGGGTCTTATCTGTTGTCATGAGTATTAATTTTGCAAACAACCTCAAATAAACAACTTGAAAAACTGTGATAAAATACAACAAAACTTTGGCGTTTGATAGCACAATTCAGTGGTATTAAATACATTTATATTGTGCACCATCACTACCATCTATCCCCAGAACTTTCCATCCTATGAAACAAATTCTGTTCTCATTAAATAACTTCTCCTTCTCCCTCCAACCCCCATATTCATTATTTAATAGCTGAAATAGCTGTCAGCTCATTCTGCTTCTCTCTCATTGTCCCTAAGGTGGAATCCATGCTTGAGGTAAGCAAGCATTGGGGCTAAGACTGAGGGAAGGAAACCAGGCAGAATTTCCTTCACACTGCTTTCACCATCAATATGGATCCCAGCATTAGCTCCTGACATGCAGGCCACCCTAGCACTCCTAGGTCTGCAGCCTACTCCGATGTCCAGATTCTCTCTTCCTTTGCAATGGGGATTGAACCCAGGACCTCCACACTAAGCTACATCCGCACTCCTTTATTTATTTAGAGACAGGGTCTCATTAACTTGCCCAAGCACGACTCAAACTTTTGATCCTCTTTTTGATGAGCTACTTTTCTCTAGCGTACCCCCCACCCCCAAACAGGGACATTTCAGCAGTGGGCCTGCCCCACAGGAAAGAGGTATCCTTTGCCGTTCACCTGCTGCCCTCTGCTGGTGCCAGGCCGTTTCTTGGCTAGACTTTTATCTCCTACAAGAACAAACTGGCTGAAAGCAGACACCCGACTCTGCTTTCAAATGCCCCAAATTATTCCGTTTTTGATATCCTGTTCGGAGTACATCAAAACCTAAGCTTCTTCACCCTGAGGGTTTTTGCTTCCCCAGACTTGATTCAAACTACAGGGGCATTCTAGTCTGTGCCTTCCCACTTACTGTTTATGGGGCCAAGGCTCAGCCTTTGAGAACCAGCTTTTCAAAAAAGCAAAGTCTGGGCTTTAAGGATTCTCCCTCCCGTGAGTTCTCGAGGCTGTACTTTGGAAAGCAAAACTGAGAGTTCGACTTTTCATTTGCACTGACAAATGGAAATCCTATTTAAAGCAACACATTTAGTGAGTACTTAGGGAGAGGATGGAATCTCAGTCTCTCTGCTGCTGTGCAGGGCACTTGGGCTGCCATAACAAATACCAAGGGCTGAGTGGTTCCAACGCAGACATTTATTTTCTTGCTGTTCTGGAGGCTGAAGCCCAAGATCAAGATGACTGCTGAGGCTTCTCTCCTTGGCTTGTGTTGGGGTCTTCTCCCTGTCTTCATCAGCTCTTCCCGTGTGTGCCTGTATTCTCAATGCCTCTTTTTACGAGGGTACTCATCACACTGGACTAAGCTTCACCCTAATGGCTTTAGTTTAAAGGAATTTACCAATTGAGGTCAGCTCTTCAGAGACAGTCACATTCCAAAGTATGAGGTTTAATATTCTTCATCTGAAATGCTTGGGATCAGAAGTGTTTGAGATTTTTGTTTTCAGGTTTTTAGAATGTTTACACATATGTAATTTGATAGCTGGGGGATGAAACAAATCTAAACAAACGCATTTGTGTCACATGTATATCTTGGACATATGCACACAGCCTGAATGTAACTTTATATAATATTTTCAGTGTAACTACACCCTTCCTGGCTTATCATATAAGGCCAGGTTTGAAAGTTTCTGCTAGTGGTGTCACATCAGCAAAAAATTTCAGATTTTGCAGCACTTTGGATTTCATATTTTTGGACTTAGGGACCCTCAGCATGTTAGGATCAGGACTTCAACATATGGAGTGGGGGAATTCAGCTTGGTCCATAACAGTTAGTTGGGTATCGCCATCCTCATTCATGGACAGCAGATTCTTAAAGACTAGAAAACCTAAAAAGTCAGAACGCATGTGTTAATTTACCCTACCAAGCACCTATATCTTTCAGACCTTTGAATGGAAAGCAGAAAGTGTGGAGCCACCTCTGGGTGCTCAGGAGAGCATCAGAGCTCCCCGTGGGGGAGGCAAACTCCTTTTGCACATCCTGCCCATGGCCCATCTCCTATTTTCTATCAGCTGTGGTTCTGGATTTGGGATAGAAGAAGGGAGTGAAGGAAAAACCAAAGGAAGAAGAAAACTTTCTCTTAGTTTTTAGGATATTACGCTCCTCCTGCGTCTTTGACTGCTCCGCTGTGTCCTTTGCTGGTTCCTCCTTTTAGCCCCAACCACTTGAGGCTAAAGTACTTCCAGCCTGGGCTTAGGTGCTTCTTATCTATTGACTTCTCTGCAAATCCCATCTAGGATCAGGGCTTTAAATACCATTTTCATGCTGATGGCTCCCTCAGTGTCTCTGTCCACACAGTGGTGAGGCCTGAACTTTTAGACTCATTCACTTGCCCAAGTGACCTCTCCATTGAGAGGTCTATTAGCCATATAATTATCAAAAACTGAGCTTCTGAGTCCCTATCTCTGCCCCCAGATAGATCACATCTGATCCTCATGGCAGATGGAATTCCATCTCTCTGGTTACTCAAACCAAAAAATATCAGATTCATCCTTTATCCATCTCTTTCATAACCTACACCCAATCTATCTTTAAAAACAGTGCAGCACCCGGCCACATTTAGCACCCTAACCCTGCTACAAATGACCATCTTATTCCTCGAGGACTGTGATAGCATCTATACCACTTCCTCTCCCTTTGCACAGCCTGTTCTCTCTATGGCAGCCTATTCTATTACAGCGCAAGCCAGATTATGCCTGTTTTTCAGAAAACCCCTTGCAGCTTCCCATCTCAAAGTCAGAGTTCTTCCAAAGGCCCATCGGCTCTAGTACTGTCCCAGTTCCCTCTACTCTGGCCACACCCACTTGACCTCCTTAAATCTCCCCCGGACACAGCAGGACACTCTGCCCTGAGCCTTTGGCACCTGCTCTCCCCTCCACTCCAGGTGTCCCACACCTAACTCCATCCCCAGCTTCCAGCCTTCACTTTCCTTATGAGGCCTTCCCAGGCCACGTTGCTTATAATTGCAACTAACCTGCTGCTTCGTACTGTGCTTTTAAGCTCCCTTACTTCATCTTATTATTTAAAATGTTTCTTTTCTGTTATACTCATCATATATTTTCGTAAGTCTTCCCCCACTGGAAGATAATCTCCATTGGGACAGGGGTTGATTTCTCTATACAATGATGTGTCCCTAGAAGAGTGGCCTGGCTCACACAGTAGGCACCATACTGTAAATGTGAACTATATATATATATTTATTTTATTTATTTATTTTTTTTTTTTTTGGTGCTGGGGATTGAACTAATGACCTTGCACTTATCAGGCAGGCACTTGAGCCACTGAGCTAAATCTCCAGCCCTCTTAACCCCCTCAATTTTTATCTTATTCAATTTTAATGAATTTCAATGTAAGGAGCCACACCTGGCATGAGGCTATTCCACCAGGCAGTGCAGGTGCGACTCCTCGTGGGAGGGAGGGAGGGAGAGGAGGAGCAGTCAGCTGGCAATGACAGATGCTCAGGGCATGCCTCTGCCTCACGCAGACATCCACCCACTGTCACTGGCTGCTGGGGAAGAGAGTTGGGGCACTTTCACACAGGCAGGTGTGGAGAGAGAAACACCCTCAAGGACGCCATGAGAAACAGACGACTTAAAAGATGGGCAAGTTATATTTTCATGTGCATCCAAATTATATTTCTGGTGCCTCCAAACCACTCAAAGGATACCGGAAAGCATTAAGAGGAGCTTTGATGGCCTGCTAAGAGGCCTGAACAGGAGGCCCAGGAAATACACTTCTTTCCACTCAATCATTCTGTACTGCCTGCTTTTCCAAGCAGAGTTTTCTGTTGATAGAGTTTGAAAATCTCCTCAATCCCCTATCAGTAAACTTTGAAAAACTCACTCACTCCACCTCCAGCACAAGGGAGGGAGACACGGCTCAGTTAAATGGGAATGAATGAGCTGTAAAACTGTGGTGCCCGGCTGAGTTTTGAAAACTGAAACACCTCAGGGTTCTCTGGACCTCAGATCTTTAGAGTTGAGTCACAGAACTTTAGAGTTAAGTCACAGAAACCCGAACTTTTTACAGATTCAGATTCAATAATAAACAACGATGCTGGATAACTTTTTAAATTCAAATGCAATCGACTGCTGCAAGTGTTCCACAGCACAGCATAAATTAAAGATCAAAGAAACATCCGCAGAGACTCAGCTTGAAACCCCAAATCCCTCCCAGTGCATGTGCAGGAAGGAAGGACACCTGGGGGTGTCGCTAGGAGAAGAAACAGAGAAAAGAAAAATTTCTAAGGCAGTCTTCAAAGTCCTATACATTGCTGAAACTGCTTGCCAGAGTCTCCTATCATGGTCCACCTCAAAATAATTTAAATTATACTTGTTTAGCAGATAGTGGACTCCTCAGCTGGAGAAGGCGGTGGCGGAGGGGGTACCATGAGGTCGGTCTTTCTGGGAGAAGCCTCTGTCTCCGTGTCTGAGTGGTAGACCCTCTCTCTAGCATCATTGTTTTTCTTGGTAATCATCTCTTCTCTAGGAGAAAAGGAATATTGTAGGTTATTCAAATAAAGGTAGGATTAGAAGAAACAGACAAAAAGACAATGAAACACCCAATGCCACATGTACTAAAGTAGACCATATTGTTTCAAGACATCCTTCGACTCCTGTGCCTACACTTACAGAGCTATCCTGCCTCACAGACAGAGGAGGGGGAGAGACAGGAAGGGATGGAAGGGAGGAGACAGACACACAGAGAGAGACCTCTCTACTTAGTCCTGCATCTCTTCTCAGAGTGAGGTCAGTTGTCTCCAATGCTCCTAAGAAACCACCAGAGCTGGGGTCTATGCTTCCCATTCTAGAAGAGTTTCTTGGGATTAGCACATAAAGTCCCCCCATCCCTTGGGTCTCTCCATCCTCACCAGCCATTCTCTGCAGATTCCATCCTGTGGCAGACTCTGCCTTGGGGTTTCATTTGCATTTTAGCTACAGCGTCCTCAGGCCTTAGGCTCACTTTGAGTTTCCTGTCTGCCTGATTTTGCCCCACTGCAACCTACAGGGTTTTTTCTCTACTGAAGTAGGCATGACTCTCCCATCCTGCTCAGCACTGGGCAAACCCTTGAAGGGAATGGTACTTGCATGTCCCGTTGTTACAGATTCAAATTTAACTCTTCTTTGAATGCTTACTATATCCCAGTGTCTAAAACTTAGATATAAACTAATTACATGCAGATTCTCAGCCACACCCCATAACAATTGCTGGGTCTTTCAGCAGAGGAAGTTCCACCTGAAAGTGATTTGTCCAGGGCAAGTTGCCAGAAAAGAGTGGATCTGGGGTCCACGTTTGGGTCTGGCCTCAAGTTTCCTGCTTGGCATCGCACTTCCCAATAAGAGTCAACTGCTTATGGTGCCCAGGGCACGTGACAGAATAGTGATGGTGTCTTGGGGCTGAAGGCCCCACATTGTGATTCTCCCTCTCTGCACAGAGAGTGCAGCCTCCTGGATACAATGCCCACCCTTGTGGTTTAAACCAGGGGTGTCCACTGGCTCCTCTATCAGCAAGGTTTCTGGCACCCATGTATAGATATGTATTACATAGTCCATGAGAGACATAACAGTGTGTCACAGGTTATGTTACACAATGTAGTATGTAATAAATTATATTCCATCTATTATAAATTATATACATATAACACATGCATCAAGGAAGTATACTGAACTTCTATCAATTCATTAATATTTCACATCCCAATAAACTCTAAACTCAAGGGTCATCAGGAACAATACTAGGTGAGAGTTCACTAGGGGCTGGAGATTTAGCTCAGCGGCATAAGCGCCTGCCTTGCAAGCAGGCAGTCGTGAGTTCGATCCCCGGTACCGATAAAAAAAAGAAAGTTCACTAGCTTTCAGTTTACTAGCTCGTTTCTTTGACCAATACCTTGTTAGATTTAGTGAAAATTTTATGCTCATGGTGTTTCTTCACAAACTTCAAACTAGAAGTGTCAGCTCTGCCAGGATTTGTTGCTTTTTCCTCCTTGCAACATTAGACTTCTTATGAGCTGAGCTTTCTTGGCAGAGATAGCTTAGGCCACTTATGTATTCTGAGGGTTGCATTTGCCAAGACTGGTAAGGTCACTTGTAAATCCATTTAACTGACTCAAGGAAATTAACCTTTTTATCTTTGTTGAAAACGAATGAAGAAGCCCCCCACTGGTTTCCTCCAGCCTTTCAACACCCTCCTTCCCATCAGGCAGGGTCAGAAGCTGCACATGACCTCCTGACACCAGCTGGGGACCTGGGCCTACATTAAAGGCAATCACTTGGTGTCTTTACTGGGTGCCTCAAGTACCCCACTGGGTTGGGATCGTAAGCATCATCACACAGATTGTCACAGGCAAACCAAATGCAGCAAAGATACACGGTGTTAAGCAGGTGTGGTGGGGCATGCCTATAATCCAGTTCTCTGGAAGGCTGAGGCAGGAGGATCACGATTCCAATTCAAATTCAACTCAGCATCCTATATCATATGTACCAAGCCTACCATCAGGAAGAAGTCCCAAGCAACTGAAGCCTTTTATGACTGAAATGGACAGCTGCCTACCCAAACCTCAGGCAAACTTTTGGCCAAACAACTGGTGAGTTCTGGTCTTTCTCAGGGAGCACGCATTATCCACTGTCTGCTAGCACGGTGCCAGGCATCAGGCACAGAGTGGTGAAGGGGACACGTACAATGCATGCATGCAGGGAGCCTACTGGCTTGTTAGAAATAAGAGTAGGCTTTCCGGGGGCCCATGCTGTCCCCAAACTGTGTCTTTAAATGTATGTGTTTAATCCTTGCATTATGTCAACAAAGCCTTACTGTGATCCCTGCACCCATTAAAAGCCACTGGTGTGAGGTTCTTTCCACTGCACACACAACAGACATAGGTGAGTGTCACCACCCCTTGAAGTTCTCTTTCCCACAGCAGCTAACAGTGGTTTCCTCCTCCCCGAGAGGTCTCTAGCAACAGCAGGTGAATATATTCATGTGACTCAGCATCTCCTGCAGTTTTGGGCCCTTGGTGGGGTTCAGCCATTATTCATCATTCCAAGCCTCCCCACCTACCCTGCCTTTTGAAAAGCAAGCCTGAAGAGAACATTTGGGTACCTGGTGGCCATGGCGTCCCTGCGCCTGGTCACCTCGGAAGCCAGGTCTTGGTAGGGGAAGTTAATGGTGTGGTTCACAGCGCTCCTCCGTTCCATGGTCTGCATGCAGAGGCTGCAGGAATCTCAATGCTGTGCACCTGGGAAGCTGAAACACAAGCACCACAAATGGGCTCCAGGTGACCTGTGGCTTCAGGTGTCTGGGAAATGGCCCAGCTCAGGGGTACCTGGTCAGCAGCGGGCTTTCCCTGCCATGTTATTGGCGAGTCTTCCCTATATCCTGTCCCCCCCAAACACCTGCTATGGGAGAGGATGGGAAATAGCATGCGTCTTGCTGGCTATTTAGGTAAGAGGAGGCATGATTATTCCAATCATGCAGTGGGGGTATTGAGGACAGTTGTCGTTACTCCCACATAAGGGCTGCGGAAACGGAGGCCCAGAGAGGTGCACTGATTCTCCCCAGACTGCACAGCAGCCCCTGCCCCTGTGGCTTCCCCCATAAAGACACCACTACAGTGGGGCCCTTTCTTCACCAGGCTGGGCTTCTTCTCAGAGTCCTAACCTTTGAAAGGAAGGGAAAGAACATAGACAAAGCTGGGCCTTGGTGCCAGGGTACTTAGCCAGATACAGCATACTTAGTGGTGGGCCCTGCAGGATGTTTTTATATGGTCTTATTTGATAATCAGTCATCTACTTGTATTGTCCTCCCAACTGTCAAATGGGAAACTGAGTGGCAGAGAAATTAAGTGGTTTTTCCAAGAGACACAGAGCTAGAATTTGAACCTGGCTCTCTTTGGCTCCAAAGGCTATCTTTTCTCTGCCACAGAGCCAAGGAATTCTCCAGTCTGCCCAAGCAGGCTACAAGTGTCCTTTCCTATACACCGCACATAATGGCTTTGTCATTGCTGGAGCAGACTGCAATGGCTTGTGCTCGGCAGGCTACACTTCTGGCTGGAAAGGTTCATTCGCAAGTGGACTTACCTTTCGGTCCCACTTAGCCTTGTAACCGCTGCCACACCTCGACTCAGGGCCTGGCTAAGAGCTGTGCTCTTCCCTGCACCTGAGCCACTGCACCTCCTAGAGGAGACAGCCACCAAAATGACCCCTCCCTTCGTCTTTTATCCTCCTGGAGTCAGGCTCTCCCTGGAACTTGAATTATTTGGATTGTTTTGCGCTCGCAAATGGTAGCAGCTGACACTAATTACCTCTGCTGATGTGGCCTCCAAAGTCTCCTCAGATGGTTTGTGCAGAGCAGGAAGTGGTACTTTTCCTCACTTGGGTAACAGATGCACTCTAGCTTGGGTGCTGGTACATGTGACAATGTGATGTATATCTGTTTACTATTTTTTAAACAGCGAATTTCCGAACATCTCTCCAAAAGCCACTGGAACCACTGAGCCTGCGCCTCCTGGTAATTTAGAGGTGGCAGGTGCTTCCCCCTTGTGATCCAAGGAGTTGATTGTGCAGCTCCCACTTTTGAGTTGGGTGAAGTTGAGCAAAGTAATTTAACTTCTAGAACCCTTGATTTCTTTATATATAAAAGACGAGTAATATAATCTTTCTGCGAGGACCGAGAAAATAATCACAAAAATATCATCACCCTTGGGAGGAGTAGTGGGAAAAAAAATATCATCACCCTTCTTCTAAATCTTTAAATTCATGTGTAAGTGCACTTGCCCCAAGGATGGCTGTAAATGTGTATGAGAATGTGTACAGATAGACATATTTTCCCTCCTACCCTGTCATGACGCGAAACCTGATTCCCCCCACGCCCCCAAGCCGGGTCTCTGTGCTGTGAAAAACAGTGCTTTTCTTTCCTCCTCATAGGAGGGTGGCAGCGTTGATCTCCTCCAGGGATTCTAGCAATTACTTAAAAGTTAGAGTCATCAGCAGCATTATTCCCATCTGTTTCTTGTAGCCATGAGATTCCCAAAGTCGGAATTTTTGTGAAGGATTTCCAAAGCACCAATTTTTGCACTGTGCTTGAGTTAGGGCAGAAGCAATTATTGTATGCAAACTTCAAATAGGGCGCAACACCTGTACAGATTTTAAATGGCCTGTTTTGGGGCTGGGAATGTAAGTCAGTGGTAGCAGTTTCATAGAATGTGCAAGGCCCTGGGTTCAATTCCTAGAACTGTGCAAAAAAAAAAAAAAAAAATCTGACTTTGCTTGTTGCTACTTTAGTGCAAAGGCTGTGGAGAGCAAGGTCCTAACTTTAGATGTGAACTCTTACAAGCTTGCTGTAGTTCAGCTTCCTGTAAAGTGATTCACAATACAATCCAGGAAAAATCACTACTTCCTGTACTTCGGTCCATCTTTTAGGCTGTGACATACTTAAAACATGTTCCTGAAGCCCACCCTTAAAAAGGAACTGTACATACATGAAGCTCTGCTCATCATGGTTCACTTGAACTCATGGTAATCCTCCTGCCTCAGCCTCCCAAGTGCTGGGATTGCAGGCATGCACCACCATGCCCGGCAACACTTTTTTTGGCCTTGTTCCCATTCTAAAGTGCTGGCATCTGCCACACTCACCTCTACTTTATCTCCTGTACCCGTAACACTGGCACATTCCTGATGGCTCTTGGACTTTCTCTTGGATGGGATAGTGTGGCATCCCTCAACTGCAAAGAGTAATGATGTACTCATGTGCTCGGCAACGACTGTATTTGTCCTAGGCTCCACAGGAAACACTCAAGAGATGTGGCCTGCTTTTGGGATCAACACAGGGTCTGGGCAAGGTGGCACATGCCTGTCATCCCAGCACTTGGGAGACTGAGGCAGGCAGATAGCCCAGAGGTTAGGGCCAGCCTCAATTTCAAAGGCCCTATCTCAAAAAACCAAAAATGAAGAAATAGACACGTTACCATCGATCCCCTCCAAATGTACTGCTTTGAACACACTCATCCCCTCCTTCCTGCTGCTTTCTGCAGCAGCTCTGGAAAGTCCTCTTCAGTGTCTTTATGAGGTATGTGAACACCGATGTTGAGCAACCACCCGAACAAGGCAGGGTTCTGGAAAACATGAGTGTGTCCTCATCGGCCTTATCCATGTGACTTCTGGCTCTTCCCCCAAACCAAATGACCCTGAAATACGTGTTGAACTGATTCAGGACACTGAAGCAGCTGCTGTAGTATAACTACAGACACTCAAGGACAGCTGGGGCTGCTTTAGAAAGTGGCAAAATCAACGGGATAATTATGTTGGATGTGGGTGGAACTATTTTGTTTATCTCACCCAAGAGTTAACTGTGACAAGGACACATGAAGTACCATGTTTCCCCGAAAATAAGCCTTCCATGGTCACTACCATGGTGATGACCAGGTAACTCCCATTCTCTTCCTCAGTGGCTACTCTGTAGCTGGAGAAAAGGCAAAGATAAGCACATCTGGCCTGGCGTTTTCAATGTCCAGTTTTCAAGGCTGGTTATTTTCTTGTTAGGTCTCATTTTCAGGGTTCTGAATGACATCTCTTCCAATTTTTAAGTTAAACCACACTTGGACTTGGACTTTCTAGGTGTCCCAAGTGCATCTAGGCACAGTGGATCCCCATCATCATGTCCCTCAGCTCTCTGCTGGGGACACACCGGTCATCAGCCTCATGACTGGTATTACAATACTTCTGGGCAACTCTGTTATATGCACCAGGAGTCTTCTGATTCTGTTGATGCAGCCTTAATATTGGTAATGGCATCTGTGCCTCAGATCCCCAGGGAATAGAGCTGCTTTCAGGTCCCCTTGCAAGGTAGTACTGTGTACACTACTTGCAACCAAAACCCAGCAAGGGTGCCGCTTGGGAAGTCTCCATATGTGGTAAGGGGACAGTGGAATATGTGGTGTGGTATTACGGGATCAGTTTTTTTTTTTTTTCCTTTTTCGTTTTTATCGGTACCAGGGATCCAACTCATGACTGCCTGCTTGCAAGGCAGGCACTTATGCCGCTAAGCTAAATCCCCAGCCCGGATCAGTTTTTCTTAAAGGGACACCACTTCCTTGGTTATCTATCTTCACAAATTCTCATTTTCTAGTGCAACTTGGACTTGAGTAGGGGTTAAACTATTTTTGCCAACATGGTGTTCTGTAATTGCTCTGTTGTTGAAAACTTGGAACATCGTTGATAGAGCTAGTATGATCGTGTTTGATGTGGGGAGGGTATGTCTGACCACAGGCTCACTGTACATTGGCTGTCCTGGTGATCTGCATTTAGTTCCAGTTCAGAAGAGTGGTGCAAATTACACAGATGCCTCATTTTCACAGCCTTGTTCAGGAACTCCAACTACACTGGAATTTGGATTGATGCTGCCAGTGTGTTTTTGATATGAATTAACTCTTTTCCCAAATAATAAAGTAAAATTGCTGAGTTCTAATTGAAATGTGACTCTTGTAAAATTGATCCAAAAAGTACTGAACATTCTGGCTGGTGACAGATGCGTCTCAAAGCTCTCCTTGTATTCAGTCACAACCTGGGCCATGGGGAGAATGTCATTTCAGATCTGTATCACAGTATTTGTAAAATACCTTCAGCATCCTCTGCACTTTTGTCCTTAAAATCCAGCAGTGCCTGGTACAGAACCTATACCAACGGAATAGATGATGTCTTGAGGTTATCTGCAAGGCGACGTTTCTTTGGCTGTATCTGAGAATCTAATATGGCAGAGAAACATAAATGAGGTCCATCCCCAACCAAGGTCCAGGAGCTGTTTCATGCAGAGTGTGGACAGTAAGAAGTGGGCTCTGAGCACGACGGTCTGGCCTGAGCCTGCATCTGAGGCGGCTGAGCCAGTGCGTAGGTAGGCCCGGCCCAGGAGCAGCGTGTAACTTAAGGTCCCGTGCAGCAAGGCCAGCTTGTCACTTGCTGGACGGGTGGTGCATGAGACTTGGCGAGCCACAGGGGACCAAGGAGAAACATTTTGATGATTAGTGGGGTCATCACAGTAATGATTTTCGATCACACCTAGTATGTCCCTGTACTACCCGGAGTTAACATGTGATCCTTTACATAATTATGCCAGAATCTCTTTTGTTAAGTTTTCCTTCTCCCATTGCACATTAAGGGAATATAAAAGAGAAATATGGAGGGGCGGGGGATTTAGCTCAGTGGCATAAATGCCTGCCTTGCAAGCACGTGGTCATGAGTTCAATCCCTAGTACTGATAAAAAAAAATATTTTAACCAAGTTGCTAATATATACTGACCTATGCCTACACCTCATAAACAGTTTATTATTTGATTTCTGTATTTTTAACTCTAAAAAACTACCAAATTTGGAATGAAACTCTACAAAACTAAAGTATAAAAATGCATAGGAGTTCTATATTCAGATTGCCTTACAATTATGTCATCGTACACAGGAAAATGAAGGCCACAGATGATGTGTATGTAAAAGACTATCAGAGCACAAAGAAATGGCATAAAACTACACAAAAAGATTAGGTAGAAAATAAATGTGTACCTAAGATCAAGTAGTTAAGAGTAGTCTTACTTTTTATATTCCTTAGTAAGTTCTAGAAAGATAAATATGAGGGCCACTTTAGAATTCAAAGGATGACATATTGGGTCCAAATTACCATAGATATGTGCTCTTATTCATTATTCTCCAAGAAATGCTGAAAATCAGTGGCACTGTGGCTTGAAGTCTGTTGCCACTGTCTTCTGAAAAGCTAGATAGCCTTTGCTTTGAGCTTCAAAAGAAGACTTACATGGAGGATATGAAGAACAGTGCATGAAGGAGGAGGCAAAGAAAATAATTTTCTTTGGTGACTTAAGGGGGCCAATTGTTCTGCTCGTCTGTTTTGTTTTACAAGCAGATATTTATGGTCCAGGTTTCTTAACACAATCAAATTTTAAACTTCTAAGGTGTATTTAAGAAGGCTTTATTTATCTACAAGGTAGAAAGATTGCAAGGAAACATGAAGATAGTGATAAGGGCTAAGAAATATAGTCTAGCTGCAGGAGAAACTACCTCAGCAAGGATGGTTCTGACCACCACCTGTCACATCCTTCTATCCTCATTTTACTTTTTCATCTCTCCTTTAGCCAAAGTTGTACCTGTATTTTACAATAATTTATACCGTAAAGATTAAAAGACATTTCAAACCATACCTTTTCATCCCAATCACTTTTCTATCATTCACATGATTTATTAATGAAGGACAAAGACCTGGACCACTTCTTCTCCTTAGCAGAGAACCTCAAGAGTCAGAGTGTTTAGGGTATGTGACTGTATCTGCCACCTACTAACATTATCATCTTCTGGGTTATTTTACTGTATGTCAGAGAAGCCAGAGATAGTAACATCTTCATGACCTGTGAATTGGTGGAGAAATTTATACAAATCCCTTACTTTCATTAGACAGATGCTAGGAAAAGGGTTAGTGGTAATTTACGTAAGTAAATACAATCAGATGAGCAGCATAACCCTGGATATGTTTTGGTTTCTAAAATTTAGGAAGATTACAGGCAAATGAAAAATACAGACAAACTGAAGGACTTAGAGAAAATGTGAAATGTGACTCTTTGGTACAGTTTGCATTTCCTATTTCATCCTCCTCCTCCCAAATGCAGTCCCTGTAACAAGTCAGAGTTCTTAATTTAGAATACATTTTGAGAAAAATGTTACACCAAAAAGCTTACGTGGGTGTCTTCAAGTATTTGAAGTGTTTCACAGTCACTATCCATGAATAAAGATGGCAAACATATCACTAATATGGAACCATTAGTTTTCCCAAAGCTGGTCTGGAAGCCACGTGTTTTGAATTGGACATGGGAATTTTAGGATAAGTATACTCTGCAGACTGAGAAATGACAGCCTTCTTTCTCCTGGAGCACAATACATTCTGATCACTATCTCTGGCACATGACAGGCCTTGCTTTAGATTTGAAGAATGGATTAGCAGCACACGAATCATTATTTAGAGAATACTTTATTAGTTTCTGTAATCAAACCCACGTAGATAAGACCTTACGTATTTAATACAGTGCGTTACCCCTGTACAAATGGAAAAAAATTAAGTTTAACGTTTCTAGACCAATATGGCTGTTAATTTCTGTACAATGCCAACTCAACACAGTAAACTGGGATAACTTTTTCCAAAGTTGACAGCACAGTTAAAGTTTCCAAAAAATTCAAATTATATATATATATATATATGTATATATATATTTATATTTATATAAAAAGACCAATAATAGCAGTATGTTATGCATCAATAGCAGCAACAGCTTTTCCAGGTTCTGCAGTCATCTGAACAAAATTATAGACATCCGGCACACTCCATTAAAAAAAAAAAAAGAAAGAAAGAAAGAAAAATACCCAGAAAACAGCAAAGTTCTGTTACTGTTGTGGTACCTGGCACCATTTTTTTTTTAAATTAGCTTCTTAATCATCATCCGGAAAGAAAACATTCTAGAGTAACATCATTAAAAACAGCTCTGATAAAGCACGGTCACTACTACGCATGGTAAAGCAGGTACGAGATATTTTACATTCACAGAGGTATGATACAGTACTGTCCTACATCTACAATACTAAAGGACACAATTAAAAAGGCATTGTTTCAGACTTGATTCTACTCTTCCCGCAGAGGGCTCAAAGGATGATATGACACAGCTCTGTAAAGAAATGCGCTTCCTCAGATAGGATTTGCTTTCATTAACAGCACGGTTTACTCACTCTCTTCATGAACATCAGCTAAAAACTGTTTTTAAAAAACCTGGGGTAAAAACAAGAAATGGGGGAAAAAAATTCATACAAAGATGATTGAGTGAAGGCAAGCAATATTCAACCTAACTAGTATTTTATCCAATCTGTTATGTTTGAAAGGTAAGAGCTCCAATGAAGGAAGGCTTCCCCAAGCAGTAGTGCTTAAGCGCTTCGGACCACAACCAAATACTGCATCATTTCAAAGAGAAGCAGTAGGCAAACAGCACTCGTTCGGGTATGTTCAAGGGTGTGGATATCAATATTTAATCACCTGCTCGCTCATCCAGGAAGAAGGGGAGATCAGTTACTAGTGTACTTTGATTTTGTTCAACCCAATCACCATGTTACAAAAATAGCAAGCTGCCATAGAAAAAAATAAGGCTCCTCTATCCAGCACCAGTTATTGGCAGTTCTTCACCTGCAAGCCTACAGACACCATAACCACATCCAAAGAACATAAAACAGCAAAGAAACCGTATCTGATGTATTAGCTGGGACCACTACACTGTTTAGGCTGAGCTATTCCTGTGTAGTGCTATTTACCTCCTATTTCTGAGGTTTCATTTAACCATAAATAGTTTTAAGTCAAATTATATGCACTTAAGGGGTATGTGCACGTATCTGCTTATAAAATTCTGACTGAAGCTGCATGGTCATCAACCAAGCAATTGTTACACAGAACATGCAAGCCTGTAAAGCCTCATTAACTGGTGCAGCAGCTGTGTGCCAGTGGAATCTGTTCCTAGTGCACCCCCAAGCTCTACACAGGATAATGTCACAAACCATTGTAGCCCCGTGGCTGCTGGCATTATCTGATTTCATTCTCCACACTCCCCTTCCCCTACCCTCAAGCCCTGGAACAGACCATGTCCTTTAAGATTTTGTTTCTTCAGTTTTGATCGCCTGAGGTTTGATTGGTCCAGTCCTGACAGGTTTGGTGGCTATGGTGGATGCAGGGGGTGGTTTCTCTTCTACTTTTTCCTGACAGACACCAGGAGGGTCTGTCAGTGTTTCAGGAGGTTTACTGGAATCACTGTCCACTTTTTGGGCTTTGCCTCCTATCTGTTTGCTCTGTTGCTGTTCAGAGAAGAACCGTTGCGTGGATTGAAGAACCTCTGCTCTCTGTTTTGCCTTAAAAAATGAGAAACAATAATTGAAAATGCTGCAGCATTACCAAAGCCTGTCAAATCAATCTCAGTTCAAATTCTTTCATCAATCACAAATCAGTTTTCCCCACACTGGTTTGGCAAAAGCCAAAAATACCTCATGATCGATCAGCTTTAATGCATAGACTTCTCCCTATCTTTGGAAATATTCCGTGTGATTTTTAACATTTGAAAGAAGACCACCTCCCACCATTTTTCAGAGTCTGCCCTCTTATAAATAGTAAAATAAAATTGCTGTTGGCTTGCATTTTTTTCTGAAACAGCTCACTAATACCAAATTTTATTCAGGGAGGGTGCTTGCAAGTCTGAAAACATACATGTAACACTTCAAACTTCGAGTTATCAACATGTGGTCTACAATGAAATGAAAAGGAAGCACTTATATTGTGGCATTACCAACACCTAGGACCAAATGTCTTGTGGCTGAGTCCTCTTCCCACAGCTCTCTTCTGCAGGGGAAGAGCATCAGAAATTAGTAACTACAACTTCACTCGATCACTAAGTTCTGATAGCTCCTACCACATTCTGAGCTGGTAAAATAATTTATTTTTAATGACTATGTGCCCCAAAGATTATACTTACGTCAATCTGTAAATTATACCACTGTAATACACAATTAAAACTTAAGTTTCTCTACCTCCTGAACACACAAAAAAATCCTTCATGTTCTATAGATAACCTGTACTATTCAAACAGCTAAAGCAGTTTTAAATGTATATGTATATTCGCTCATCCCATTAAAAATTATTAAGCTCTAATGTCATTTCTAACATGAGAATGTGTGAAAATTAAGAGCCAAAAAGCCAGGAGTAGAACCAGAAAACAAGGCCAAATAATCTCCAAAGCTTTTTATGCATACTAGTATTTTTAGTAATAGCAACATGAAATTCCTAGGTATGTTAGCCTAGTAAAAGTCGGTATTTATAAGTTTTACTTCAGGGTAGTCATTAAATTTGATTACGAAGCATCAGAAACAAGGATCTCAATTTGGACAGAAACTTTCATCAGTCAACTGAATTCTCTAAGATCACCATAAACATGTTTCTAATTCAGAGCAAAGCGTCACTGTTTACATCTTCCTATTTGTAAGCAGCAAGCTTTACTTTATTCTACTACAGTTTATGTAGTGATAAAACCAGTGAAATCACTCAGATTGCTACACTCAACCCTAAAGTGCAGAAACTTCAACTGGCTGTCCAGGCAGACGCATAAGGTTTGTGCTATGAAAACTATCCCCACACAGACTCCTGAAGGCACTCCTCTGCTTTAGCAAACCTCATGTTTATTTGTGCCTTTCATCAAGAAGGATCCCAAAGTGCTTTCCTAATTTATTCATGGAAAACTACACAATCCACTATGGAGCACAGCCACCTCACGTGGCAGGTAAAAAAGGAGGTGATATTGGTTCAAGAAGAAAACTGTACTTGAATGACATGTGAGGGAAGAAAAAAAATCAAGATAAGCAACATGTCTCACCCATTCCAGAGCTGTCACATAACTATAATTATATAATAAGCTGGATGGGGTAGGAGGAAAGGGAAGGAAGCAAGAAAAAGGAAAAAAAAAAAAAAAAAAAAAGAAAAAAAGAAAAAAAGAAAAAAGGAAATAAAATGGGGAAGCCTATAAACATTACTTTTTTGCTATTTCAAAAAATATAGCAGCCAAACTCAGATCTCCCTCACACACTTATCTTTTTAAGCAATTCATCTGACTGGAATTTATGTGTATAGCTGGGTAGGGTGGGGTGGGGAGGAACAGAAAAAGGGAAAAAGACGGGGTGGGAGGAATAAAAATAGAAATTAAAAAAAAAAAAAAAAAAGCAAAAAGAACAAATAACAGTATTTTGCTGCTGAGACAATGAATGCCTGGATACACGGTTATGGGTCCAGAGCATTTTAAGACATGGTTCAGAGACAGATTCTTGCTCTGATGGCTATGAACACTGTACTAACCTTCATGTCTTGTTCAGCCTTCAACGCAGCCTGGGCCTGATTACCTCTGACTCCAGATAGTGATCCACAAGGACCCCTGGCTACATGTGGCAAACGAGCATGGCTCATGAGGCCTGTGGTCAGCGGAGGAGGCATCTGACTGGCCAGTGCCATTGGTGGCCTCTGAACAGGCGCTGGGAAGGTGTTAGTATGTGGGGCTCTTACCAATGGAGGGACCAGGTTAGGCTGAGAGAGAATCTGAGTGAAAAAAACAAAACATACAACATTGAACTGTTAAAAAAAAATGTGCCAACTAGACCAGGTTGGCTTATCCCAGAGTAAATCTGTGCCCATCCTGCCAGTGAAAGGAAGCTTAGGGACTGTGCCATTTCATTTCATTAACAAAACAAGCAGGTCATGCTTGGAGAATTTAACAGAAAAATTAGGCAAAGCATGCCACAGACTCCAGCTGGTGCTAGCATCTCAGCTGGAAATTCCATAGGAGAGATAGAAAGGCTACTCAAGTATCTTTTTAAAAAAGTTACAGCTGCAGAAAAGGCACACATCTGTATCAAACATAATCTGAAGATAAATAATTCAACAAATGTGTTTCTCAGGAACTAGTGAATTGTTAACAGTTTTAGTCCTCCAGCATGATCAGCGCAAGGAAGAGAAGTCACCAGTTTACAGATTTTTGGAAATTTTTACTTCAACTGGATATAGGTATCTTAAACAAAAACCACGATAAACAAAAAGTCTACTTTAAACCTGGAAAACTTCAAGCACTGGGACCCTTCACTTAAAAGCCAACTTCCTCAAAAAAGATAAAAGAAAAAGGACTCAAATGATCAGAGCTGTGTGGGGAATCTTTTGAATATTTCTATTGTCTGCTTTAAAACTAAACAATTACTACCCGTGCCTAGCTATAAATTGCAACAAATATTTTTGAATATCAAAATTTACTATTAAAATCAGAATTTTTAAATTTGAAACTATTCTTAACTGGTAACACATGGTAAAATTATGAGAGCAGAGATTTAGTCAGATTAACAGTCATATACAAGTAAAGAACACTCATTCTTACTTATATCTGCCTACCTGGGGTGCAAACTGTGTAGGAAAGGGCTGTGTCATTCTCACAGTGGCAGGAGTGGACTGGAACTGCTTCTGATAAACAATGCTGTTCATTTTGCTGGACTGGCTGTTTGGACTGGTTGAAGTAGCCCTTGGGAAGAAGCCACTGGTCAGTATAGTAGTGCTAAGGAAGTAATATTATTACATTTCTATAGACATTGTTCTTGGTAATTGTATCATACTTGTAGGCAATAAAAACTTACAAAACACTGTGGTAAGAGATACAGAGAGGCAGAGGTGAGAAAAAGAGTAGCTACATTTGCTTTGAAATATTTTCTTAAAATACATATACACGAACATTTTGGACAAAATTATATTTGAATATCTTATTAAGTACTTTTTTGTTCAACACAGGAGAGAGATGATATAATAAGTATTTGTAAATGGTGAATAATTATTTATTTTGGACTGGGAACTGAACTTAGGACCTCACACTTGCCAGGCAGCCGCTGTGCTGCTGAGCTACACCCCTGGCCCTATTTTGCAATTTTATAAAGAAATTTAAATGTCCATTTTACCGGAAGGGACTAGATGTTGGGGTGGTGCTTCTCCCGCCAATTGGAGGTGTGCCTGGTTTTATATCAATACCACTTCCAAAGGCTTTTAGTTCCATTTCCGACATCTAAGGAAGCAGAGAAAACAAGCTTAACATTCCTTGAACTCCATATGCTAAGTGCCATGTTTAATGTTTAAACATGAAGGGTTAATCTAGAAAAGGGCTAACAACTTACCAGTTGGGATTTAAATCAAATTATTAGGCCAAACAGACTGATTAAGTGAGGACGAGAAACTCTGAAAAATCTAATTCTTACATAAAATCTGCAAATTTTTTGTAGGTAAGCAACTGTAAGACTGGGCCACACACATTAGTAATAGCATAACATAGTGTACTGGGATTTAAGATTTTCTCCATGGTGGTAAAAATCAATGCATTTTACTTTTTTAGACCACACAGATGCACCCATCTGAACAGATGGCTTTAAATTTTCAAATACGCACCACAAATTCCTCTTCACTTACTTTCCCTGTAGTTGCAATCATGCTATGCTGTGTTCCAGCAGGAATTAATCCTCTGAAAGGTTGGCTAACTTGTGCAGGACGGCTCAGACTCTGAGCCTGTGCTTGTGGCGGGGTGTGCTGTAATGGGGGCTGCAGGGTCTGAGGCAATGCAATCAAAGGCTGCCCTGTGGATCCAAAGTTAGGCAAGGAAAGCTGGGATGCTGGTAAAGGTACTGTAACCTAGAAAAGAAAACAGAAACTGCAGTGATTTACTCGTACTGCTGCACACACCATCATATAACTACATACAACTCTACGTAATTTTTTAAAGCAAGACGTTAAATACAATATACCTACTAACAAACTTCTTATGCAAGTATCTGCTTAGTAATTACTTCTGTTCTTTTATGTACAAACCCACAATGCAACACGTGGCTTAATGACAGGGATACGTGTAGGGCAACTGTATCACGGTGTGAATATATTTGTATAAATAATTTCCTGAAAACTAAGATGGCTACGATTTTACTAGGCATCATAGCATTTTTCTTTGGGATAGGATCTTGCAGTTTCTCAGACTGTTACTAAACTGCTAGTGGGTTTCAGTGATTATCCTCTTGCCTTAGCTTCCTGAGTAGCTGGGACTACGGGCATATACCATCCCACCTGGCAGGTGAAATAAATTTGCTGCTTATGTTCCTTGCCATGAGGCAACTATATAAATGAATTACCTACCGTACATGTCAAATAACTACAAACAAAATGAAGAATGGTTTGTCTTTGCCCTCTGCCCTTCCACTGACTTTTAAAGAGTTAAGGTGATTAATGGTATTACTAGAGAAGACATTTGAGAAATTCAAGTGTGGTTTCCTGAATTCATATACGTAAGTTTTCTGTTATTCTCTGTCACAACCATCCAATGTATTGTATTAACCTGTTCGATGCTCTTTAATCTTTAGTCTTCTTCATTGTAAGCCACCTACTGCAAATATATTCTTGAAAAAAATGGTTTTCAAACTTTTATATTTATGGATTCCTTTGTTAAAATAAGTCCACTTTTAAAAATAAAAGATAGAAAACCAGAAATAACTGAAGGGTGAGGGAGTGAGCAGACAGTTATTCACGGAATTCAACGAAATACCTCCTATTCCCAGTAGTCCCTATGCAACTGCCAGGCTACCTCAGTAAAGTTTGAAAACCACTCCTCCCATCTTGGTTCTACATGAATCCCCAAACAATAAAAATAATAATAAAGAAAATTAAGGAAATTTACCATGCCATAGTTTACCTGCTGGAGAGCACTTGGTGACTGGGCAGTGTTATAAAAATTTGTCTGGCCAGGTTGTTGTACTTGTCCAGAATAAAGATTTGAGGCCTGGGTAAGATTTGCTCTAGCCTAGAAAAAACATTGTAAAGAGATAGGGGTTATAAGTTCAAATCTTTAATAATATTAGCATAAGATTAAAAAAAGAGCACTTTTAAAATTGTATCTTTTAACATCTATTATCTCATACTTCTTTTTCTTTAAAAAATTTTTCCTTAAAACAATATGGATATTTTTTAGAAACAAGAACCTAATGATCATGCATTCTTCTGGTTCTTGCTTACCTGGAGAAGATGTGTATCAATCAGCTGGGAACCTCCTAGTCCTGATGCTTGTCCTAGCTGATGTTCATACAATATAGGAATAGGCTGAGTATTTGAAGTTTGTTGAAAGGCAAGACCAGACTGTGCTTTAGCAAGTTCCTGGTGCTGGACGGCTGGAAAGTTGTGGATAGCAGTGCCAGAAAGGACCACAGATGGCTGGGATAAGCTGCTTTGCATAAAGGCTGGCTGAGATCTATGTAAGTATTAAAGTAGAAAAGGCTGTGTTACATGCTAATTTTAATGGAATCCAAATTGATCAAGTACTCTATCACAGAACTCACGAAAAGAGGCAGAGAGTATACACTGTTTAAAAGATCTTGTTTCCTGATTTACAGCTTTCTTTACAGCAAAGCTCTATTGCTCAAAGGGTGATGTAGAAGTTCTGGAACAAGTTCGCTCTCTCGAACAAATTGGTTGTGTTTTACTTCTTGTACTAGTTCACCACAAAGCTGAAAACCAGATCTACTTTTCTCTTTGGCGACATTCTAGTCCAGAGGAGACCTGGATTTATTATTGTTAGTAGCCGTATCACACGTTAACTTTTATTTAGATCCTTTAGCAATTTTCTGTGATTTCTGACTGTTAAAGGATTGAAATCACTCCTTCGAGGTTTGAGGCTTAACTTTTCCCCCCAATAAAGTCTGGTTAAACTTAAGGGAGACCAAGGTTCACAATATATAAACAACATGTCTAATTATTTAATGTAGTTTATATGATCATCCCGGCTTTTGGGGGGAATAAAGAGAGTAGTAGTGACTGTGGAAAGGAAAACAATCACATTATTTCTATATTGCAAACATAACTTCGCTGTTTTGAGACGGATCTTGCTGTGTAGTCCAGGCTGGCCTCAAACAGCAATCCTCCTGCCTCAACCTCCCAAGTGCTGAGATTATAGGCATGTACCACCACACCCAGCTACAAATGTAACTTTTATAGCAATTACCTATATGGTTGAAGTGAAGAGCTGAATAATTCCTGAGCCTGGGAAACAGCAGGTCCAGCCCCCAAACTTAGCTGAGCCTGATGTTGGCCTTGCAGTGGTGCATAAATAGGAATCGGGATCTGCTGCACTGATGCTGGCTGTAATGCAATGAAAAAAAATAATACCTTTAAACATGCAATGAACATCATATCTGTAAATAGTAACACTCAAAAGTAACAGTCTGAGACAAAAAAAGGATAAAAGGCAATACCCTACATCAGCTCCCTTTTATATGCATCTTGGGGAGCTAGTAATCATACATAATGTATCTTCATGTTTTTACCCCCCTCCCACGTCTGTTGGCTACCTTCCAAAAACTTAAATATCACTCATTCCCTTACATGACAAACTGAAAACATAAATAAAGAACAAAATGAAAGACAGACAACAGGAAATAGGGACTTAAATTTCTTACAAATGGGAATGTAAACATCAAAATTCGTGACTATATTACTAAGTTCTGGTAAACTGAAGAAAGCTTTAAAATTTTGCTAATAGCCTGTCAAGATTATCACGAGTTAGGTATAACTTTAGAAAGTCTATAATTTGTAGTCCAAGATAAGTGTAACAAGTATAAGCCAGAAATGAACGGAGGGTGGGAAGTAGTCTTTGAGATTTACCTGAGAGAGACCTGGCTGGAAGCCCTGTTGCTGAGCCAGGGATGGTGGAGCTAATCGTGCATGTTGGGTATTAAACAAATGACTTGTGTCCATGTAGAAAGCTGGGATTTGAGCTGCAGACCATTGGGGAAAACAAGCAGTGATGTCTAATTTTGTAATTTTTCACATAGTAAAAAAAATCAAGTTTTATAGATTTCAAATTAATTAAGCTTTCTGAAAATACAATCAACAGAAAAACTAGACACGTGAGATGATGCAAATGCAAAAAGATGCAAGGCTCCTACCAGAGATACGTGTAAGTTAAAACAATGTGATTCTAGTATGACTGAGATTATAAAAGGTTATCAAGTAGACACTGTCTGACTGTCAGCAGGGTGTAATGGTAACATTTCACATAAAAATTCAAAACAAACTTCACTAAACTTGCAAATCTACTTCAACTTTAAATTGACCTACTAGAATGAAGCAAAATTTTTACAAAAATAATTTACATTTATTAATTTTAAATGTTTGGTAGATTCTTAACACATACTACGTTTGTGACTCATTTTTATATAATAACACATTATAGAGAACTTGTATCATTTTAATTGGTCATTATTCTAAGAAATAATCAAATAAACACCTTTAAAGTTTATTTGTATAAAATTATTTGCTATGAAAACTGTTACTATAGTCGGTATGTGCAAATAAATTCTCTAAGATACTTTTCCAGAAAGAATTATGTCCATTTATATACACTTAAAGCATTATTAATAATGCTAGATATCAATAAATGCTGGTTATTATCCATCTCGCAGAGGTAAGAAACAGCATCACTTTTTATTTCTTATTTACTGTTACTTTGAACTTAAATCATTACTGGGATTAAATACCAATGTTTCAGATGAACAATGATATTCAATAGGACTTGTCACTCCAATCCACTATTTAATTTTTTTTCTTTATCTGACATAAGATCAAGTTGGCCTTGAACCCATGATTCTCCTGCCCAGTCTCCCAACTGGGGTACAACTCCTGCCCACTATTCTGTGCTCCCTGTCACCCAAATTTATTATCCATTGTCAGACTGAAGGAACCAAAGCTTTTGCTATTTGATCAGTCAATGTCCTGTGCATGTTATTTTGCAAATTACTGTATATTAATTATAGTAAGTATACAAGAAATAACTAATAATAAAATATATTACTTTAATGGTCTTTTGGCTAGACCAAGTGTGTAGTATGTGGCCTTATCAGTTTAATTTAATGACATGCAGGAAACAATTGCCAAGAGCCACAGGCCTCATTGACTAGCAATTCTAATCCAACTTTAAATCTACTTGCTAAAATGTAGCACAATTTTACAAAATAATTCATGTTTAATAATTTTAAATGTGTTTGGTAGATTCTTATCAGTTGTTTTTTTGGGGGGGGGGCGTGAGGAGTACTGGGAATTGAACTCATGACCTTGTGCTTGCCAGGCAAATGCTTATGTTGCTGAGTAAGTCCCTGGCCCTCTACTCCAGTTTTATAAGTGGACTATTTATAAAGAATATCCAAAAATATTTAAACTTGAAGGATTAACTAAGAGAAAAAAACATTTAAAAGTCTTCATTTAAAAATTTTTTCAACTCAAAATATTACCTGCTGCAGACTGTGACACATAAACCTGTGGACTCTGCTGCTGTTGGGCAATAAGGGAAGGCATACAGCTTAACTGTGAAAAATGACTTGCAGAAGGTAGGCTGCTTGTCTGTAATTGCTGGGGTTTCACTTTACAAATATTTGGAGGGTCCGATGTCGTTGTAGATTTCGTACTCAAAGAAGAGGTAGTATATGTACCAGCTCCTGTATTTAGGGGAGGGATAAAAAAAGGGAAGGCAAACAAAAAACCAAAACATATTTAAAAGTGCCCCTGTTGTTCACAGTACCAACTGACAACTGGAAAATTAATATTTATACCCATCAAGTATAGTAGGTCTTCTGTATCTGTAGGTTCTGCAGTTATACCATATTAGGTATCATGTACAAATAATCTGAAGCATGCCAGAGAATGTATATAAATCACACGCAGATAATACGCTGTTTTTATATGAGGGACTTGACATAACTCCAGATTTTAGTATTGGGGAGGTGAAGCTCTGGATCCAATCCCTCCTGGACCCCGAGGGAACGACTGTATTTATGCACAGATTTAAGCCAAAAGAGGACATGAGGTAGCTTACAAAAGAAAGGAACATCATTAAATCCAACCATCATTACAAAATTTAGAAAAGTGTAAAGAGGAAATAAAAATGAAAAAACAAAACACAAACCTCATAAAATAAGGAGGCCAATGGTATAAAGGCCTATTACAATTAAACCTCAGGTTATTAGTTTCTAATCAGCACAAGGAAATGGATAATCAAAGATTTCTTTCATTTATGGCTAAGTATATTTAAAATGACACGAAAAGATAAAAGTGCTGTACCTTAGAAATGTGAATGTAAAAAAACCCCCAAAAAACAAAAAGAACTGTGAATGAAAATGACCTTGAGAGATCTCAATTGTTCCTAAAAAGTCATTTGCAGTTAAGTTCAGAATTCTCACTTTCTCCTACAAAACTTTTCTAATAGCAAAATGAAAACACTGAAGTTTGATTTAAAAATAAGATAAATATAAATTATCTTTTGCCCTCAGGTGATACACCACCTAAGTAGACTTCAGGTGCCTCAGTCTTTCTAGGTGAGTCTCTTATCAGTAGCATGACTAAGCAACAAGTCCTTGTTAATGATCCTATTTGGGGCTGGGGATTTAGCTCAGCAGCATAAGCACCTGCCTTGCAAGCAGGCAACTGTGAGTTCGATCCCTGGTACCGATAAAAAAAAAAAAAAAAAAAAAAAAAAAAAGATCCTATTCAAGGGGACTGGAGCTAAACCGGGGGAAAAGTTGTTGGATACTAAAGAAAGAAGTATGAACCTTCACACTCCCTTTATTTCCTAATCATCCTATCACAGATTCCTTCTATTTCTTGTAGAGTAACCCCACATCCAGGCTGGTCTAGGGAGCATAAATGAAGATGCACTGGCAAAGGGCAGTGAGGAATCTTAGGAAAGTTTTGGAAGGGTTGGAGACTGTTTCATTTGAAATTATAATGCTGTGCAAAGTTTGAATTGGTTTTAATATATGCCTTTAAGATAATACAATAATGAATGTACCATAACCAGAAGACTTGCTTTTTGGCATTTAAGACTGGCACATAATAGCACAAAACTGAGAAACAATATTGTAATCATCAAGTAAAAATCAGTCAAAGAATGTATTTCTGTGACAGGCATTTTATATTTACTGGAAAGGAAACTTGCATTGCTTTGGGAGCAGCAACAAACAATGGAAAATCTTGAAGCAAAATTTGTTTTCAACACAAGAAACATTGTTACACACAAGGTAGGGAAAAGGGTACACTTTTCTAGAGACAGCTGTTTTAAAAACATCTTCAGTGACTCTTTAGGAACCATAAGACATCCAAATAGTTCAAGGGAAAAAAACCAAACATTAGTAAAAATAAAAGGAAAAAAAAAGGGCAAGACAAACATATTCTACTTTCAGACATTAACAGAGATTTTCCTTTAATAAAAATAGATGCTCAGCAAACTAAAAGATTCCATTATTTTCTATAAAAAGAAGGGGCTGGAAATCCTCTAGCCTAACTCTTCTCCAAAAACATAAACTGCCCAAATAGGTTTAGGTCAGAAGTACCCTTAAAATACAGATTGCAAAAACATTTAAGAACTGTAGGAGTCTACTTTAGTACTTATTCAATTAGTGATAAATACATAAAAATTGACAAAACTTGAAAAATTTACAAGTAAAAAAACCTCTCAGCAATCACTTATCCGTACTGTATTCCTCATCAATAAATATCAACTTAAATTCTGAAAAGATAAAGGGGCTAAAAAGCACAACAAGTTTTTACTAAAGAGATAGTATCTCACATCTTTTGTAAATAATAGTTTACTAGGGGAGTTTAAAAGGAGATCATAAGAGATTTGAAGTAATTCAAGATATTTCATTGGGAATGTAGCTCAGCGGTAGAGTGTTTTCCCAGTATGTGCAAAGCTCTATGGCCAACTCCCAGCACCACAAAAACCAAACAAAAACAACCCCAAAAAAGGTGTTCAAGGAAAGGCACAAAAAGTTCTACCTGACAGTGATGTTGTAGGAGTTACTGAAGCCACAGGAATCTGAGGCACAGAGGCACTGGAGAAGGAGCTGTAATTGGCGGTGCTTGGTCCGCTGGCGCTGCTGCTGACTCCACTGGCAATAGGGGGCGCTGCAGAAGTCACTGGAGAACCCTTTTCTCTTACATTTGGAGAATTCTCCCAGGCCTTGCGTGCAGACTCCATCTACAACAAAATGGTCATTTGTTGAGAAGGAAAACATGTTAATGCAGAATTAATATAAAAACATACACTCATACACAAAAGCTACAAAAGTAAATAACATCTACAGCTTTCAAATTTTACTTGCCTCTTTCTTTGCTTCTTTAGTCAAACTGCATATGTGGGGCAGGGGGCAGTAACTCAACTGTTTCTACAAATGACTATTTTATCCTTTGGTTTTTTGAAGCAGGGATCATGATGTGATTTAGGCTGATCTAGAACTCACTGTGTAGCACAGCCTGGCTGAGTGCTGGAATTGTACAGAACTTTTCCACTAAGGAACCTTAGTATTACCTAAACATAAATTCCACCCCCTACTGGTGAGTAAAAAAAATCTAATGTCCCTTTGTTGTCGCCATCTGAATTGTGACTTTGTTTTTTTGGACAACGATCTCACTGTGTAACCCAGGCTAGCTTAAAACTAACTAGGTAGCCCAGCTGGCCTCAAATTTTTCATTCTCCTGTCTCAGCCTCCCAAGTGCTGAGATTACACAGGCAAGAGCCACCATACCAGGCATTTAAATGGCACAAAACACATTTTCTCTCAACCTATTCAAGGCAGAACTACTCACAATGTTAAGACATTATAAAAATACAACCTATATGTAATTAAAAGTTTTCTAGTAGCTTTTAAAAACATAAAAACAAAGAGGTAACATTTTGACATTTTATTCAACTCCATTGCAATAATCAACATAAAATACGTACTTTTTAACATAAAAATTTCAGACGCAGTATCTACTTTCTTACTGCTACAACACACCTGAATTTGGACTAGCCATAGATTAAGTGCTCAATAACTACACGTAACCAGCAAATTCTAAACTGTACACCATCTGAATTAAATTATGATACCCTGAAGCTATTTTAATGAGAATGAATATGCAAAGTCTGAAGTTTTCAGTATTACCTGAGGAAATACTGTACTAAAAAGAAAACCCATGATCAGTATGATCCAGCTAATAATCACTCACATGAGGGTACTTTTTACAAGCATCGTTTTTAGTAACATTGTTACGAAGTCTGTGGTTTATTTAAGTGGTAATTTCTAAAATTTGAATTTTTCCTAGGAAATTTTTGTTTTAGTTAAGACTTTTTCCTTTTCTCAGAATTACCGTGCTGATTTCAAATAAATTTTAAAATAAAAGCCTAGGAAGTGAAAGCAGTTTACTTGTATCACATGAGATTTGTGGGTTAGAGCACTGTTCTGTTGACAACAAATAGATTATTAAACTGTAATCTACAGAGCATAACATTGTAAATGGCATTTTATTACATTTCTAAAGTAGCAAAAATGCTGGAAAATATAGGGAAACTAAAAATGTAATGATGACACTGTATTTGCTTAGGTCAAATTAGATTTTAAAGTAAAATAGTAACAATTACATAAATTATCAGTCAAAGCCTAGGTTGAGATGAAATCATTCAAGTGGAAAAACAGCAAAAACTCAAAAGGAATTGACAGTAGTAAAAATGAGTGCTATAAAGCAGAAGCTGTTGTCTTAAAAAATTTAATAGTCTCAAACTTGTATTTTTAAACCTTTTGTGAAGCAATTGGAAGGAAAGGGACAGAAGCGATCAGGAAACTGGGGACTCAAGAGTTGTGAATGAATGCTAGCTGCATGGCAGAACAATGTAGCTTCCTTTACTTGCTGATCAACATCCAAAGATTCACCATCAACTAGCGCAGCATTAGGAATAGCTGCATGACACTTTTTTTTTGTCTTTTTCCTTTTTATCGGTACCAGGGATTGAACTCATGACTGCCTGCTTGCAAGGCAGACGCTTATGCCACTGAGCTAAATCCCCAGCCCCAGCTGCATGACACTTGCTGAGACAATGAATATAGCATCAATGAGACAAATTTCAAGTAGTCTTAACTCAATTATAAAAAAGAATTAACATCACTTAAAATTACAAGTAGATGAAAATACAAACTAATACCTCAACTCTAAAGAGTTAAAATGTTTTGCCCACTTACAAAGTACTATTTTTGTATATAACTAATATATGCCACAATTAAAACCTCTGAAGAACTCAATGCCAATAATCACAAATTATGAATACGCTATATTTTTGAAGACAAAATTTGCTTGCAGGCATTAATTATACCTCACTAAAAGTTTTAAAAAGCTAGTAAAATTTTAAAGTGTAATTTGACATTTCCTCAGCATAATACTGTAGCTTGCAACATAAAATTAATAGAAGTATCCAAAGAATATTGCTAACATATGTCCTCCAGCATGCAAAACGAAGGACCCTTAGAGACAGATCTCGTCACACATACCTTGAAGGTGAGGCTGAAAGTAGTGGGAGGTACTGAGGTCAGGCCGGAGCTCTGCTGTATAGTCTCCCGCTTAGGGAGGGGAAGGGTGTTGGGCAAGGGCACCTGAAAAGGCAAGCAACACACATCACAGTCTAACTAAGGCTGCCACAAAAGCTCCATTACTGGCAGTGCTAATGTACTGTAAGGGTGGTGTTTATTTTTCATCAGAGCCAACAGGAATATCAGATTACTTAACAGCTACACTGTTTACAACAGTTACGATGCTAAAAGAAATAGTATTTATCTCAAACACAAGGTAGACACTGGAAGGTGGAGCTTCTCCCCCTTTAAAATGCATCAGAGTCACCAGGGCTGCTGTTAAGATGCAGGTTTCTGACTCAGGTGGCTTGTGCTAAAGCCTGGAACACCTGTATTTCAAATTACTCCCATGTGCTGCTGCCGCTGAGCGGCAAACTGCACAGTAACTCTCTAAGGAACACACTTTCCACCACACACCGGGGTGCACAGGTTCTGTCAGAATTATTAGCATGACTGTGAAAACAAAGTGATGTCTGAGGCGAAGTGCAGGATACTAAGCTATTATACCAACCAAGCTATTTAGCTAGGGTAGTAAAACAATGCCAAGCACTGTTAGAAACTTAAAGACACTACTAACAAACTACCTGTATCTCTTCTTTCTTCCAAGTCTCCGGATCTTGGGATTTCATTATGTACTACCTACTGAATGTTTGGTTTTGACAGTTCACTTAGCTGTTGAGGTAAGAAGGCTGGGATTTCAGGGGTTTCTAGGTACCCATTCTGTGATATTATGAACTATCTAATATAGATTTGTGCTAGTATGGCCTACTTAATGGTGAGCCTTCTGGCATTCAAAATATGTAAATGATTTTTAAGTATCAGTTAACTGAGTAAAACAAAACTGCACTAAGCCTTACTAAAAAGAAGCCTAAAATACAATCCTTGAAAAGGACAAAAGTGCTATGCACAAAATGGAAGCCACAAACGGGCTAATAAAAAAAATAACATTTTCAGAAAGTCCCTAAAATTTTCCTATGTAGGACATTTGTCTTTAACACATTAAGCTCAGAATCACTTACTAGGCACAAATAAACAGCACTGTTTAATCATTCCAAACCAATGACCATTTCAAATGCTCCCAAACCCAAACTGGTAATCTTTTTATATATACATTAGATACATACTAATAATCAAACAGAGTATTCACTTACACAGGAGACTCCAGGAGTTATCAATGTACAAGTCTCCACACTAATTAGTAGTACAGATCACAGAAACCATTAAAATGCTCATCTAAATATTTTCTCTATTATTATTCTTTTGCTTTTTGAGACTCGGTCTTGCTACGCAGTTCAGGCTGCTTTTGAACTCCTTATGCAGCCCAGGCTGGCCTCAGTGAGCCGCCTACCTCAGCCTCTTGCGTGCTGGGCTAACAGGTATGCACCACCATGCCTGGCTTCATCTGAGTATTTTCAATGACAACATTTTAAGGACATGGGTACTTTCAGTGGACAGACTGGTAGAGACTGCTACATATATTCTTGAAAAAGTAATTACAGAAATATCCTATTTTTTTTTAATGAGAAAAGACACAATTAATGTAAAATTAATCTTTGAGACTTCGCTCATTCAATATTTGACAGGGACTACTAGTGACACCAGAATTCAAACTGAAAGGAAGTTCTTTCTCAAGTTCTCCATTACTTGGGAAACTTGTAAAAATATTTACATCAGGGGGCTGGGGATTTAGCTCAGCAACATAAGCACCTGCCTTGCAAGCAGGCGGTTTTGAGTTTGATCCCCACTCCCGGGGTAAAAGAAAAAAAAAAAAAAATTACATCAATCTCAGAAAGTTGGTATGGGGAAAGAATTTAGCACATGAACTATTTTTAACATATGAAACCTGGGCAAATATTATTAATTAGATCTTGCAGAGGTCTTATCATCCAGAGAAAGTAACGTGATTCAAACCCCTCTGTTTCTCAGCTGTGCTGTCAAGTCTTTCACCTGAACTACACAAGTTGGCTTAAGTACCCAAAATACAGCTCACCTTTCTAAATTGCATGTATGGGAAGCCAGAGGAAATAACAGACAGCACAAGGGCAAAAAATAAGACAAAAATGAAAGATTTCTATACTCAAAACAGTAAGTAAAACCCTTTCAACAAATATTTATCTCTAAAAAATATTTTGAAACTAGTAACATTTTAGTCTCACAGACTTTGATTACAGGGAGCTATATTTAAAAAGAGAGTAAGTGATCAAATTTCTACCATTATCTGCCTCCCAATTAGAGGACACACAATTTCTAATATAATATTCCAAAGTATATCATATGTCCACAGCAAGTTATCTAACATTGTAAAATGTATAATTTTTGTCTTTCAGTTAGTGAGATAGGCGAAATGATGTATTACTAACTTCTAACACAATCTTAAATTATAACATCGCTGCTCTGGGAAATGAGAGCTTAATTCACAGCATGACAACATCACGGGGTGTTACAGTATTTAGGAACCAAAGTATCATGTATTATAGCTTAATCTACACACACACAGGCACAGGCACATGTACTTGCCAGTATTTGGGGGAGGAACCTAGGACCAAGAGCCACATCCCTGGCCATTTTTAAAGAACTTAAACTCATGATCCTCCGGCTTTAGTCTCCTGAGTTTGCTGAGATTACAGGTGTGTTCCACCATGCCAGCTACATATTTTTTAATTAAAAAAAATTGATTCCTCAGAAGCATTATAGTTGTCTCTTGATTCTACTTATCTTAAATGAGTAAGGTTTCACTGCATTATAAACAGGTATCATCTGTTAACAAAGTCACCAAATAAAGTGGTCAGTTTGTAGAATGTGATAGCTAAGAACAAAAATTCTTACTGAGAAGAGAGTAAGAGCATTAGTCCTCATGAAATCAAGGCTAAGCACCTCAAGCCTTCATCCTAAATAGGAAGCCGATGACTTTTAGGGAAAAGTAAAATGGCTGGCTATGATTATTTTTACTAGTAATAATGTACCTCAGTGCTCCTAAAACAAATGGGCAATCAACTCTTTCACTGGTAAGATCTGAATGTTGGTCATTACTAGAGAACAGCAGTCAGGTTCCTATCCAAATCTGCCAAACCTCAGATTGGTTACTTACATTATTAACCAAAGTATCCTCCATCTTTGCATTATTAGTAGCCACAGTGTTAGGGAGAGAAGAAGAAGGTGTAGTATAGTCTGTTACAGACTCCTGTGGAAGAGTAACATGGAAAAAAGTTTTAAAGTGAAATACCCAGTCACCTTTAAAGGATAGCTTAATAGTTGTAAAGTTTTGGAGGAAAACAGAAAGAAAAGGCAGACATCTCACTTAAATCTTACACAGATTGACAGTCAGGTAATGTAACACAGATCCCCTCATTAAAATGATAATATTTAAACTACTACTGAGCTCCTATACATATTTAAAATTGCACTGCACAGTACTAAGAGCTGTCAACAGTGCTGAATGTTTTTGGATTATTAAAACAAGTTATTGAGGTGTTTCCCACACTGTTGAGCTATCAATGATTGTTTGTCTTCTCTTTAAAAGAATGTAAATATCAAAATATCAGTTGTTAAAATAAATTATATTTAAGTATATACTCTTTACTATCATCAACCTCTTCTTTAAGTACAGTGGCAACGGACACCTGAGTTTTCACCTATGTCGATTCATTTGCATGGTAATTGAAGAGCCCGATATTCAAATAATATAAAAGATTAAGCCAGCATAGTGTACACAGCTGAAACCTCAGCACTTAGGGAGGCTGAGGCAGAGGGATCATCCCGAGTTGGAAGCAGACTGAGCTACACAAGCTGAAGGCCAGCCTGAAGTGTACAGTGAGAGCCTTTCTCAATGCCCCTCTCTACTGGGGAAAGAAAAGATCACATTCACCTTCCTTTTCAGCGAATATACTGTATGCCCTGGAGTGAACACAAGACAACAGATATAAACGTGCTGTTACCACAGTCACTTAATGTAACTTGACTTAATGAATAAAGTTGTCCTCTTTGTTATCTGTAGGGGACTGGTTGCAGGACTCCCTACAGAAACCCCAATCTATGGATGCTCAAGCTTAGTACATAAGTGGTATACATAAAACTTAGATGGATCCTCTATCATAATTTAACTTGGCTGAGATTACTTACATACATATACTTAATACAAGGCAAATGCTATGCAAATAGTCATTAAACTGTATTGTTGAGGAATAATAAGAAAAAATACCAGGCATGTTCAGTGTAGAGATAATTTTTGATTCTTGGTTGGGTAAAGCCATAGATGCTTACCCTAGATACAGACGGCTGACAGTAGTTTTAAAGATATCTTTCATTCATTGTGGCTCCTAAATCAAGTTAATATCCTTCATGCTCCAGCAATGAAAGAAACTGACTATATTTGAACTTACTAAAATTTTGCCTCATTTCTTAAACTCAGACTCTCAGTAATAGGCAAGGTAAAGCACCACACTGCCACTAGCAAAATAAAAGTAGCAGGGTAGTACTATAAACCTAAAGAAAAGTGTTCTGAGTTTGTGAACACATTTTTTCATTGTAACTACTGAAATTGTCCAGCATTAAGAGTAAAGCCCCGGGCTGGGGATTTAGCTCAGCGGCATAAGCGCCTGCCTTGTAAGCAGGCAGTCATGAGTTTGATCCCTGGTACCGATAAAAACCGAAAAAGACCAAAAAAAAAAAAGAGTAAAGTCCCCCGCCAAAAGAAATATAATTTACTGTAAAGAATTTCTTTTTATCACACAGGTGGCACCATGAAATAAAGTCTTCTCTGTAGAAGTAAAAAATAACTTACAGATGAAAAATATTATTTCTGTGGTGGGAGGGAAGCTCCAAAACCAGTGTTGCCATTTTCTCATCTGGGCCACGGTCCACGCATCAACCAAAGCAGTAATTGCTAGAGGCCTACCTTTGCATTAGTGGCATATTCTGCAGAAGACACGGAGATCATGGTTCCTATTTCTGCAGACATTTCTGAAACTGCTTTAGTTTCCTTCACTGTGACAGAATCTGTGCTTCTCACAGCAGAGGATGCTGGCTTCTCTTGTCCTTCTGGCTCCACCTGTTGGGCATCTTTTACTTTTCTATTTTTTAAGGAACGTTCCTTTCCAATGGGCCCAGGTTTATGTTCTTTGTTTTCTACTGGACTCAAATCTGGAAGCTAAAGTTTACATTTATGACAACATGCATTACAATGAAAGACGTTAACAAACAATTAAATTCAATTTTAAAACTATTCACTCCCTGTGTTAGTGGTGCTGTCAAAAATTACACTTCAACTACAATCATACAGTTACCTTCTGGGCTTTGATAGGTCCTGCTCGTGGCTGTTTCTGCCGTTGTTCTTTAGGTTCAGAAATTTTGTCAGTAGATTTTTCTGAAAGCACTGGAACAACTTCATTTTCATTCCCATTTGAAGCTGGAGCACCAAACTGAATGGTGTCAATTCCGATTTCAACACCACTCTCTTGACCATTCTTTGTTCCCTAGTGAAAATAAAACAAAATTTAAAACCCTGCTATTAAACCAAACAAATTTTACATTACACAAAATGATTTATATTTCACAAATCGGTGGCCTGTTTCTTAAATAATGTCATAATTTTACTAGTGAAATATGAAAAAAAGAGTGAAGGACAACATTTAAGTTAAACTCCAGGATTTTGAAAATCTGAGGGGAAATTATAAATGATAAAAAAATGGATACATCATAAATACATACTCTACATAACTATGTAACTAGAAATCATTGCTACAGATTTCATTTTTCTACAGTAAGCCATAATACTGAAAAGGGGGGGTGGGGGTAGGATACAGCTCAGTGGCACAGTGCCTGCCTGACAAGAACAAGGTCGTAGTTTTGAGTCTCAATACCAAAAAACCCCCAAAACAAAAACAACCGAAAAACCCAAAATACGATTTTTCTACAGCAGAAAAATCTATAGAGTAATTTGTTTTGAGTGAACTTAGGATACTGTTGTATTTTTACTTATTAGTTCATACTATTTTCGGCATTCCCAAATTAATTACACTGGTCTGGTTAATTACACTGTCAATGGTAAATCTATTTTAGTGTAACAATGTCATTTTATACTCACTTTCCAATATAGGCAAATGTATTTAATGTACATTAGAATAAAAATCTCTTTACTTTGTTCAGTGTTGAAATTCTATTATCAGTTAGTTATAAATGTACAATTAATATTAAAAGAGCAAAATTCAGTAATGACTGAAAACAATTATGTACAAAACTCAGAACTCATATACAGATGAATAATAGGTTGACAGTTGATGGCTATTAAGAAATGTAAGTTTTAAAACTACCTTTTAAAAACGTTTATAAAAATATATACAAAACAAGGAATAATAATGACTTTGTTTTGGTAGTCATTCAAGAAAAAAGTCCCTTCAAGGAATTCTCATCTTGTGAAACATTTTAACTTTGCTAACTTAAAATTTCATCAGAAGATATAACATTCACACAAAAATATTTCTATCCAGAAAACATAAATACAAATAAAGACAGTGTGAGAGAAAACTAAGACACCACCATTAACTAAAGCTAAGAACAAGTAAACACCTTTTTTCTCATAAACCTGGCAGCTAAGAAACATGAAAAACAAACTGTCTATTCTGTCCTTTATATCAGCATGAAACATATTCAACTTTGTATATAACAAATGTTCTTATGATTAATAATATCAATACAAACAGGTAGAAGAACTATTCAACTGACATTTTTAAGTACTGAACATATTGAATGCAGTGATCCTTGATTCTAGTTGTACAAAAAGTTTTCTGAACTTTAATATCAAAACAAGAAAGGCTTATGCCAGGCCTACTAGGTAAGAAAATTGGAGTGGCATGGGAGGGTATTGGAAAGACTAAATAAAACCCAAATCAAAACCAACACAGTAATCAACCCCTTTCAACCTCATGTACTGTTTCATTTCTCTGTAGTCTTTTATAGCATAAACTACAGTCCTGCATTGTTTAATAATAGGATACATTTTGAAATGCACCACTCGGCAACTTTTCTGTGTGTGCGTGCAAATATCAAAAGGTATTTATATACACTAAGACTCCCATGATGTCACAGATGATACAATCTTTTTTTTTTTTAAGGCTAGTCAAGTGAAGCAGTGACAGATGATATAATCTTACGGGATCACCATGGAATTGAATTCATAGCTCATCAATGGTTTGAACAAAACGTTAACACAGCATTAAGATTGTGCTCTCAAGTTGCTTATACTCATATTTCCTTCAATTTTAATTAAATTCACTACAACCAGCCTTTTACATACATTTTCTTTCAACACTGCTTTTGTCTAAGTTTTCAGTGACCCCGTATCATTAACTCCACCAATTCAGTGCCTGTATCATTTTACCTGCCACCAGCAGCATCTGACATTATTTAACATAGCCCTTTTTTTTTCTTTGGTTTTGTGAGATAAGGTCTCACTAAGTATTAAGGCTGGCCTAGGGAGCCCTGCAACTTGCTGAGATCCTCCTGCCCCAGAGCCTACAGTACTGGCATTACAGGTGTGCACCACTATGTTTGGCTTAAAACTCCCTTTTCACTCGGATTTTAGGATACTTAATTAATCACTCACTTCTCCATCTCTAGCATTTACTGTGCTAGAAAGCCCCAACACTTAGCATTACATTTCCTTCTCAAATTATCTCTTAACTCATTCTTAGTGATCTTGTAGAACCAGTCTGCTCTAAGTATAAGCTGCAAGGGCTGATCAAAAACTATTTTAAATTTAATCAAAAAATTATCACAATAAATGATACGCTGTCATTTTTTAAAACTATTTTTCACTTTATGAAATAAGACAAAATTTTATTAAAAATGGAGTAACAATAGTACACTGTGTATTGATATCCTCAAAGTAGTTATTTGGAATATAAGATATCAATAAAAAATTCTTAGATAAAACAGGTATCAGAACAAAACTTTATTTTCAACGAACAAGATCTGTTGTCATTAATCCCCTTCAAAATACTTCCCTCACTTACTTATCCCATATTCTCGTCACTTTGTACACTTACCACATAGTTCTTGAGTGTCTTTACCAGGGAAGATTAAAAATACAGTCAATGCAAAAGGAAGGCAGACATGTAAAAATTCACAGAAACTGACACCATATGGTTTCTGGCTTTTCCCCCAAAATCAAAATAACCATGAAAGGTACACAACTGGATTGAGCACACTGAAGCATGAGCACACAAAGAAACAAAACAATACTTCCAGAAATACTTCAGAAAGTGGCAAGAATAATAAGAAAAGCCAAGGGGAATAATTTGAGGAAGTTAAACACAACATTATGTCTTTTCTTTTAAAAAAGGTATACTTAGCTCATATGTCCTAATAAGTTTGTAACTAGAAGATGATCATTTCTGAACTACAGACATATATCTAATACCCTACGAGACTTTTTCACTTACATGTTTAATGAACATCTAAAATCTAACATGTCTCAAATAACTCTTATTATTCTCTTTCCAAATCCTGGTCATTAAGTTTCTCAATTTTAACTGACAGGAATTTTATCCTTCCTGTTGCTCAAGCCAAAACCTTGAGAAAACTGACTCTCTTCTTTTTCTTAAAATCCCACAATTAATCAGTTTAATCTTCAAATACCCAGAAGCCGAGTTATTTCTTAATACCATTTCCCTGGTATAAATTATTATCATCTGATTAATAACTGTAATAGCACTAGCTTCTAGTCCTGCTCCCTCTGTTTCTTTTCCCTTTTATTTTTTAGTACTGACAATTGAAATCAGGAACCCACACTTCCCAGGCAGGCGCTAGGCCTGCTGAGCTATATCCCTGGGCCCTACTCCCTTATTCTTAATAGAACAAACTTTAAAGTCACTTCGTTACTCAAAACCCACCAGCAGTCTCCCAGCTTATACAAAATCCCAATAGGTTCACTTCCTACTGATTCCCTAACTTTATTCTCTCTCCATGTCTTCCTTCACTCTGGTCACATGGGCTTCCCTGAATTTCCTCAAAAACACCAGACATACTCCTGTCTCGTGTCTTTTATAATCCCTACTTGTAGAACCTGGAAATGTTCTCATTCAGACATTTGAATAGCTTGTTCTCTTGTATTCTTCAAAGCTTGAATTTAAATATCACCTAAGTAAGATTTCCTGGTCACCCTACTTTAAATTATCTCTACTTCCTTGGAAAATTTCTTATACACCTTCTCTGTTTTGCTTTTCTCCTTAGCAATGATCCCCATGAAGCATATTATGTATTATTCATTGTATGATAACATGGCCTTTTCTGGTGTTTTTAGCTCTAGTTTTGCAAGCTCACAAGTTATAAAAGTACCTGGTGTATGGCAAGTACCTGACAAATGTTCATGCAATGAATGAAGAAAGAAACACTTAAACAGTCACTTATTAACATTCATGTATTAGTAAATTATGATGAAAGGGTCATATAACTCTTTGTAAGTATTTCTGGTAGAAATCCCGAAGCTACAGAATACAGCTAACTGTGTTTATTCTGTAACACAAGGTCTTTTCTTGAGGCTAAAACACATGTTTTAACCTTAAGTCTAAATAAATGAGAGATGCATTAACATCACTAGGAAACTTAGAATCATACTTGGGTCTCCAACCCAGACCAATGAGTAAGAATCTTAGAAATCTGTATTAATGGCCTTTTGGGTGATTCTGAGGTATGTTAAATTTTTATTTATTTATTTTTGTACCAGGGATTGAACTCAGGACCTCACGCTTGCCAGGCAGGTGCTTATCCGACTGAGCTAAATCCCCAGAAAATGTTAAACTTTGAGAACTTGTTTTTAAAAAAAGAAGTCTATTCCTACCTCTGATGAAGTAGCGGATCCAAACGAAGTTAAGGGCTTATTCCATGCACTGACTGAAGGTGGTTGAGGTGGACTAATGGGACCTACTGCAAAAGAAGCCATAAAAAACATGACCCTCAATATCTAGACTCTGCTGTCCATTTAACCCTTTCCTGAAAAGATAACAAGATAATAAAACAATGACTTCATATTCATACACAATCTTAAATGCCAAAATAAAGCTCCATCAATTGTATTGGCCTACAAACACGTGTCCAAAAAACATAACACAGTTGTTAAATATGCTTACTTTAGAAACAAGCAGTTTAAGAAAGAAAGCTAAGAATTACTTTTACAGATATGTGCTTAAAAAAATGGCAAGAAAAAAGTCCACTGTATAACTTACACTTCTTAGAGATGTCATTCAGCACAGCTGGTGGGGCCACTTTGTTATCCCACAGTTCAGCTGTCAGACTGTCGTGTGGTTGTGGAGTCTGGATGGACTTCCCTGGGGCCACAAAATCTGTGCCATTAGGTGCCTGAGCTGAAGGCAGCCTGATGGAAGGTGGTGGCTGTTTTGAAGACTGTGAAGTCTGTAGGGGATTCTGAACTGGTTTGTGGGTCTGGGCTTGAGTCTGTGCTGGAGCACTGGGAGTGGGGGCTGGGGTTGGGGCCGGGACTGGGACTGGGGCTGGGGCTGGGGCTGGGGCTGGAGCTGAGGCAAGTGGGACCGCGGCCACTGAACCTGAAGCTGAGGCAGCTGGGGGTGAGACAGCTGGCACAGCTGAAGCCGAGACTGCTGTGGCTGGAGGTGGAGCAGAAGCTGGTACTAAGGCTGAAGCAAGGATAGGAATTGAGGCTGGGGTAAGTATAGGGACGGACGCTGGGGCTGAAACAGAGGCAAGGATAGGAGTTGGAGCTGGGATGGAGACCGAAGCTGAGGAAGAGGATGTGATTGGAGCTGCAGAAGAGGATGAAACCGGGGTTGATGTGGAAGTGGGAACTGGAACTGAGGTGGAGGGCAGTACTGGAGCTTGGGTTGGGGCTGACACGAGCACTGCAGGTGATGTCACAACGACAGTTGCAGTTGAGGCTGTAACTGGAGGTGCAGGTGATGCTAGAACCGGAGCTGAGGTGGAAGATGGAGCTGGAACTGCAGCCAGGGCTGACACTGGAAGCTGGACTTGCTGGGTTCCAGTGGCCTGTTTTTTGGCAAATCTAGGAGGAAGCTTAGAAGTCTGACTTCTTCCTTTGTCATTTGCATTCTTTTTGTTCCAGACCTTAAATAATTGGTAGAAATTACTTTTGTCAACAATGTAGCTGAAAGCAATAGTTTATGCATACAATGTCTAACAAAACTACCTAATTCATTTTTACTTTTATACAAGTGTACTCATAAGCAGGAATGTCAAAGTTGCTACAAACTAAAAGCCAAGACAAAAACAACAAATATATATTATGTATTTTTGTTATGCAGTTTGATACTTTCAATTCTTCCAAAATTAAAAAACTAAAAAACATTTGCAGTTTTACTTGACAGCAAAACTTGATCTGAGTTAACAAAAAAGCTACTTACAGGTCTCAAATTAACTCACAAATGCCACAAAAACACTGATTCTGGGAGTGTGGCTTGCCAAAGAAGGTATATGTACTGCTACTTTAACCAACTACTCAATAAATTCCCTCTGAAAGTATCTGGTTACAGGAGGTATGGGTTCAACTTCAACTCAATAATTTATCCTTTGTATTTTAAAATAAACCAATTTAAGTAATAACAAGAACATTTTTAGGCCAAAAATTTTTAACCTATTGGATCATGACACTGTATTTATTAGATTTCCAGGATAACTGTTTTGTTTTATTTTTTGAGGCAGGGTCTTACTATGTGGTTTAGGCTTGTCTTCAACTGGCTATGTAGTTCACTCTGGCCTCAAACTCACTGTGATTCTCCTGTCTCAGCCTCCCATGTGCTGGGATTACAGGTGTGCTTCACCATACCCAGCTTCTAAGATAATTTAAAATTAATTGGTCAGGGGGCAAATAACATGACCAATACCAACAGATAAGTATATCACTGAATTCAAGTAAAGATGGTCTGCTTTCTGGCAAATGGCAAGCTACAATGGTTGTGTATCATTTAAAATTTACTTACGTTCTGGTCAAAATAGTTGAAAGCTCTGAAGATGGAATAATTTTTATCACTTGAGTAATAAAATAGACTTGTTTTTGTAGTAGATGGAAACCTCAACCATCTTCTAACATACTATGGACAGCATTCTTAACTAGTGATAAACTGAAAAGAGCTTCAAACCTGTATGACTTGTTCTTCCTTCTTTCGGCGTTCCTCATCCTGCAAACGTTTCTGTTGTTTTTTAGATACCACTTCAGTAAAACCATCATCATTCAGATTTGACTGAGGGTCTTCTACTACTGTTACCTCAGGGTGATCATCAATTATAACAACACCTACAAGTGTGAAAAATGATTTAAGTATATTCTTTGTTTCAAATTAAAGAGTAATGATGTCCAGTGTATTTATTTAGCCAAAAAAAAAAAAAAAAAACAAAACAAAAAAAACAAAAACAAAAACAAAAACCAAGAGTTTATATAATTTACAGTAAAAGCTAGTAGTGATGAACCTATGGCACACACACCTCAGCAGGCTGTATGTATCATATTAGTTTGCCATCAGTGGTAATAACCTATTTCACATGCTATAACATGGCCAGGCAATAGTAAGATTTGAAGATTTCAAAGACTTATGGAAAAATTTCACAAAGCTCCCAAATAAAGTACCAAAACTGTATGGCACGAGTGTGTGTTTTTCCTTAAGCAACATTAAAATTATCCTCTATGTAACCTCTATCTCTTTGCCTTAGATCTACATAGTGCTTTAAAAATAACATTACTTCAACTCATTTGCAACTCACTATTCTAAGAACTGGATATTACTATTATTTTTCTTTTTCAAAGGGTAAAATAAGCTCATAGCTGATTTGTTAAAGGAGGTGTCATTTAGCTCGATTTAGCACTAGCAATTGATCCATTTTTCATATTCCTGTCTACAATGTGTCCTTGCTAAAAACATGAAATTAATGTGATAGTTCCATGTGAATGCAATGTGGTGTGGCATGGGTTTACAAACTCAAAATCCTCTAGCTGATAAATTTTATGTGTTTTCAATAATTCCTGGCCTCTATCCATTATATGTCAGTAGTAATCCATGACAGCTGTGACAATCAAAAATGTTTCCAGAGGCTGTCAAATGTCCCCTAGCATGCAAAAATCACTCACATTGAGAATCACTTCTTTAAATAACCAAATAAAAAATTCTTAAGCACGTGATTAAAATCAGCTTTTTTTTTTCCATATGAATGAAGTGGTACAGAACAGTAGTTCTAAAACTTTACTGTGGATTAGAATCACATGGAGAGCTTGTGAAAAACAGATACTGCTATGACCCACTGTCATACTTTCTTGATTTTAGCAGGTTTGGGGTAGATAAGAATTTGTATTTCCTATAAAATTTCAGGAGAGACTAATGTTCCCAGGACCACAATCTGAAAATAACTGGTCAAATAAATAATGTCCAAGACCAGAGCCCATATCAGTGTTTAATTATGTATACGTAACCATTATTTAGATTACTCAGTGTTTAATTATGTATATGTAACCATTATTTAGATTACTCAGTGTTTTCAGCTGCAGTTTCATCTGAATGAATGGCAGTGTACTTTTCTATATATGCCTTTTCATAGATATTTGTTTTTTTTTTTTCCTTCTGTCCTTTTTGAAGCAGGGCTTCACTACATGATTCATGCTGGCCTTGAACTCACTTTGTAGCCCAGGCTGGCCTGGAACTTGCAGTGATCCTCTTGCCTCAGTCTCCTGAGTGCTGGGATTACAGGCATGCATCATTGCACCAGGCTCTCCTCGATAATTTCTTTATCCAGTATTTTTTATTGCTTATTACTCTTCACATGGCAATCATTTTATGGCTTACTAAGTAATTATCTACAGCAACACTGCATTCTATCCTTTAATTCTCTATTACCATATCTTAGAAACCAGTCTTAGCAAGTTTGTAATCTTAAATAGTTAAGCATTTATTTCCTTTTAAAAACACCAAGCTGTATGTACAGATATAATTGTCATCACTTAAATTTTCTGTGCTTTCTCATATGCTTAAGAACCCATGTTGGTAAGGTAAGAATGGGTTAAGCAATTGTCTTTTTTAGAAAGACCAATTGTGTTGGGTGTATGTCCCTCCAACAAAAATTTTCTCAAGTATATACAAGGCTATGCTAAAAAATTGGTTTAAGTCAAACCAGTGTTTTATCAACTCCTATCTCTACCATGAAAGTCTCATTTTTTGGTATCTTTATAACATCCACTTAACTGTAACAAATAAGATGAATGTATAACATACTTGCATAATTGTTAAGATCGAACTGTGAGAGAGCATCTACTTTCTCTTTGGGTTTTTTAGGGCCTGGTTTAGTGTCTTCTCTTTTTTTCCCAGTAGAATCCTTGGAATTTTTTGGTCCTGTACCATTAGATGTTCCTTCCTGGTGGTGTGCAGAGCTGCCACTGACAGGTTCAACACTGGCTGTGCCTGTGGATTGGTCATCAAATGGCCTAGAAAAAATAATTTGGAAGATTACTACTATTTCAACATATTCAAACAGAAGAAAAAGGCCCTCACTGGCAATTTCTAAAATTTAAGATGAACTAACAATAGGAAACTCTACGTCTCACACTAATGAGTCTTTAGGGTACAAACTTATTAGCTTCTTAATAAAGTACACCTGGATTCATTCCAGCACTTAAACTTCAGAATTCTAATTATCCCCAAAGTTTTTTATTTTGTTCACTTGTCTACCGTATTATAAACGAGCTACTTAACATTGCTTATAGCACACATCTTCTGTAATTCTACCAAGTCGAAAGCATTCATAACTAGATCTCTCCAAAACTGAGTAGAGCACATGAAAATAAAATTTTAAAAAAGCATTCTTTAGAAGTTCAGATTTATATACTGACATAAATATATTAACCTCTTTTAAAGTGAAAAATTCACTTTCTTTAGAAGTTCAGATTTATATACTGATGTAAATATATTAACTCCTTTAACATGAAAAAATTCCCTTCACACATTACATGCATTCCTGACTTTCTTCCTAACAATTTTTAGATTTTTAAAAAATTTTTTTTTCAGGTGAAAATATATCACGAGAAAGGGTGTGCTAATTTACTTTCAAAGCAGCCTGTAGTATTAGTCTAGATAAAAGCGTTACCAAGTGCCTAGTACCACTTCACACAGTTGAAGAATGAATGAATTCATTTTTTTTTCTAAATGAGACTGCCATACATTTTTTAAAAAACTATCATTAATCACTACTATTTCTGTAGGTTCAAGGTTGTTGCCAGCCGCATAGCACATAAATCAGTTCAAGATTTCCCTTGAGTATTACTTCAAATTTTAATAATCAGTTATAGTAAAAAATGTATTCAACCCAGGTGTGGTAGCATACTCCTGTAATCCCAGCACCCGGCTGAGGCAAGAGGATTGCTACTAATTTGAGGCCAGCCTGGGCTACACAGTGAGATCAAAGCTGGCCTGCATTACCTAGTGAGACCTTGCCTTAACAAAGAAAAATTAATTCAGTACTTTTGTTGCTCAGAAGGGAGATTCACTTGAGGTAGTCAGGTACTCAATAAACACAATTTTTTTTCCTAAATTATCTGGAAGGTAGAAGTATTTTCCTTATTAATATAGTAATCTGAAAAACTAAATGTAACTAAGGAATTCAGATTAAAGATGTGAACTATTGTCCAAATAAAGATTTACCAGCTCAAGCTACAAACCTGGGAATTTGGTCTAAAACTGTAGCATATCATCACCATGGCTGCTTACTACATACTAGTAAGCACATTACAAATATCTCAGTAGTCTTTACATATTCCTCTGAGTACTATTACATTTTACTGGTAAAGAAGCAATTTACAAACTACCAGAACCTGATTTAAATCTAGGCATCTGGAATATTAACTGCTACTTTATAATGCTTCCTAATACTACCAACTATAAATACATCAAAAAATTGTCCCAAGGAACAACTACCTGGTACAGTCTGGTAAGAAAAAGCTAAGGAGGACTACCATCAGTAACAAGTTAACAAAGACTTTGTGTATGTCCCTCCTCATTGTGCAGATTTCTCCAAAGTTATGCACTTCTTTTGGAAGATGTAACTTAGTGGAAAACTCCTGAGACACCAGCTCTTCTCAAGTACCCTTACACTTTGAGAACAAAGAAAAATATCTCAAGAACAGTATCTTGTCCTATATTTAAATTGGCTCTTTGCATAAATTCAACTAAGAATTTTACTTTCAGCTATGTCAGTAGTGTGAAAATTTTATATCTAAAAAATACTCACCCCCTCTTTCCACTTTTTGATGGTGGGCCATTTCTTCTTTCATTCCTAGGGCCTGAGAAATTCCGTCCTGATTTGGGGGGACCATTGTTGCCACGTCGATTCTGGCGATCTATTCCAGGTCTCTGACTGGAAAAACTTCTCTTTGCTATTTCTCTCTTAGGAGGTGAAACATTCTCACCCGCCTTTACAACAGCCTGTGCATTCAAATCAGCATTTTTTTTTTCATCTCTTTCTCGTCTCTCATTAAAATCACTACTTTCAGAAGCTGTTTCCCATTCTTCATTTGCCTGATCTGAAGAGTTTTGATTAGATAAATCTGGTGTCTTATTCCCAGAAATATCCCCAGCAGTATTAGCTGATTCTTGAACCACATTATTAACTGTGCCATTTGTGGGCACCAACACTTCATTTGTTTTTGTAGCAGCTTCTCTCTCTCTCAGACGTCTAAATCGAGGAGGCTTATCTTGCCTTGGTGGCCGGGTGGGACGCTGCCTTCGGGGCCTCTCTCTGGCTGGGTCAAATTTTCGTTCAAATTTTGGGGGTCGTTTATCTGCTGGCATAGGAATAAACTGTTCATGTCTTCTTGGTGGCTCTCCATCTTCTGGCTTAGGAGCTTCAGTTTGCCTTGGGTTCCACTGATTGTCCCGGTAAGTAGGTCTGCGCAGAGTGGCAGGGCGTGATGGACGGCCTCCTGGATCCCTCCCGCCTCGCCTGAATGTTCCTCCTCTGCCTCGCCTTGTAGGCTCTCCTTTAGGAAGGAAGCCTGGTTTAGATTTATCATCATCCCTTATGTAAGGCTTTTCAAGTGGCCTATTATCCACTCGAACATGATTTTCAGGCTTGAAAGAAGGCTGAGGCTTTAGAGGTTTTTTGTTTTCAGACCGATCATCTCTTTTGGAAAGTTTGCTTTTGGTTAAACTGTCCTTGTCACTTGCACTTTCATGAATTTCACTGTCGGTATCAGTCTCTGAACCTCGCTGTCGTCGCCTTTTGGGTACAATTTCAAAATCAGAACTTTCACTTCGCGTTTCACTTTCTTCTCGTTGTCTGAGAGGACCCGAGGGCACATGCTCTGTTCTTGGCTTATTGTCTCTATACTGGGGATAATCTCGAGTGTGTCCTCTTCCACCCCTACCACGCCCTCCGTAAGAGCCTCTATAGCTGCGTCCTCTGGAGTAATATTCACCTCGGCCTCGACCTCTGTATCCTTGATCTGGAAACCAATCTCTATCTCTAGCTTCTTTCCAGTAGGTCCTGGGGGGTAAAGTTGACTCTTTTTTAACTGCTGGTCTTGAATCTGGTCGAGTTCTCTCTATGCCAACATCTTTGCTAATGGCTTTCTCTGGCTGTTTTTCTTCTTTGACTGCAGGAGATGCAGCAGTTTGCTGGGTCACAGTTTTGACTGCAGGCTCCACCTGAACACTACTTACAGGTTCCAAAGGCTTCTCAGTATCTTGAGACGGCTTTTGAGCCAAAGTTGAAGTTTCTGTTGAAGGAAATTTCTCTGATTCTGGTTGTACTGGTGTTGGAAGTGATGGTGGCTGAACTGGTGCTACAGGTGGTGATGGAGGAGAAACAAGATCCTTCTTTTCTGTCTTTTCTGGTTTTACTGCCTTTTCGGTAGCCTTTTCAACTTTTTCTCCTTCTTTCTCTTTCCTTTGCTCTCGTTCCTCTTTCATGTCTCTAAGTACAGGTTTTTTAATGGGACCCGATCTTCTCACAGGTCTATCATTACTGTCTTCCCTTCTGTTGGAGCTTGGCCTTGGGCCCCAACGGGTTTCTGATTTAGATTTATATACCTTTTCAGGTTTTGGTCCTTCAGAAGATCGTATAAAGCTATCTTTTCTTGGCTTTTCCTCTGGCCTTTCTGCTGGTTCTTTTGAATCAATGCACCTGCTAGTAACTTTAGGAAGGATTACAGATGGCTCACTTCTTTGTTCCTCTGATTTGTGAGAAAGGTTAGAGCCATGAGAAACACTTCTTTTGGGGGTGGGCTGACTTTCTAGGGTTGAAATCTGCTCTTCTGGAGTACTGGGTAAGGTCTTTTGATCAGGTACTTCAAAACAAGCAGATTGTTTATTTGTATCAGTATGAGGTTTAATGTCTTCCACGGGTCTGCTTAAAAATTTTGGTGCTTCTGTCTCACTTGATTCTCTAACGAAGTCAGCTTTTGGATGTGTCTCCAACTGACTGTGTTCTACAGAATAAGCAGCAGTAATCTGTTCCTGGTCCAAAGCAACTTCAGGCCTATGGAGGATGATAATGCAAGGATGTAATTAAAAACTAATCTTTACACACATATATAGGTACACAGCAAAATAACCTAATTTTGCAATAAGAATGGACCTTAATCATGAAAAGCACCTTTTTCTCTACACTCAAAATAACCAAGAGGATGACATAGCACATACATGTGTGCACATGCAAGCATGCACACACACTATGGAATATATCATTATTCAGGTATAGAAAAGGAAATAATGTAAAATGTTACCAAGTGGATAAGCCTTTGAGCCAGACAGGGCAAACACCGTGCATGACTCTACTTATAGGAGTTCATCAAAAAATTAAGTAGGATGGTAGATGCCAAGGGTAAGTGCAGGAGGAAACTAGGAAATGATGATCCAAGGGTGTGACATTTTAAACATTCAGGATCAAGTTCTAGAACTCTGCTGTATAATATTGTGGTAATAAGTATTAACATTTTATTGTTCACTTACAATTAAGAGGGTAGGTCTAATGTGGGTTCTTACAGCCATAATTAAAAATTAAGGAAAAATGTTTAGACTATATTTGTGAACTGTTAATGTATCATGATGAATTCTTACCTAGAATAAAACAATACACTAACGCCCATCTGTCCCAGTTAATTACAAATAATTATAAAAGAAACAAGTCTCATAAAAAAGGTCTAACTTATATATGGTATAAAACAAGAGGCTTCTATCAATTGCCTGCTACTTCAAAGTAACTTTACAAATTAGTCTTCTTCGTTTTTGTGCCTTAGAAATTTTCTAGAAGGCACTAATTAATAAATGTCTACCATTTCTCACTACTGGAAAAACTATATCCATACTTTAGTCAGACTACATTAGAATGAAGACTGAACAATTTAAGATCTAATGCTAACTTCTGACATCTAATTTTGTGCATAGAATTAGTTCACAGTATGCCCTAATCAATACAGAAGTAAGAAAAAACTGTGTGTCCAAAGTGAAAAGTGGGGCTGGGGATTTAGCTCAGCAGCATAGGCGCCTACCTTGCAAGTGCGCCATCGTGAGTTTAATCGCTGGTACCAAACAAAAACCAATCAACCAACCAAACAAACAAAAAACAAAGTGAAAAGTGGGGCAAACTAAATAGATGAAAATCAGATTTGTGGCTTAGTATTAAATAAGAATCACCTTCATGGAAACTACAGGGTTATCTTTTTACTGTAATAATTCTGCCTAGTTCATTAATGATTTCATAGTTTATTACCTCACATCATCAGATTCTTCGTTTGTCTTAGGTTCAGCTGTCGGCTGAGGTTCCGCATGAGGATATGGATCTGACCCCCACATCATACGGGGCTCAGGAAGAGAAACTGCATGATCTCTAGCAGATCGAGCTATATGCTCAAATGATTCAGAATTGTTTGGTGATCCTTCCATCTGGTCTCTTCTCATTAATGGTTTAGGAGGAATCATTCCTATAAAATAGGTTCAAAGAGAATTGAGAAAATTGGAAGAAATTATATCATTAGAGAAAAAAGATTATTCCTATTTGGAACTCAAAAAAAAAAAAAAAGAGTAAAACTGTAATTCACAAAACCTGAAGTTATGCAACAAGCTCTTCTAGGAATAATTTTACCATTTCTATTAAAATAATTTCATTTAAAAACTGAGAAAACAAAACCAGTAAAATCCTAATAGCTTACTTCACTTTAAAGGAATACTCTGCCTATTAAAGACATCAAACACTTATGAGTCCAAATATGTTAATACTAACGTCATGAGAACTTGATAGTAAACAAATTTCTAGGGAAGTTCTCCCATAGCAAATTCTATTTAGTTCTTCAATACTCTATATAAAAAATGCTTAAATTTCAAAATATCAGTTTAAATATATGATTCTTGATTTGCTATTGTCACCCCTAAATTTTCAGCAGCACTATTTTGATAATGGATTATTTGGATTTATCCTGATAGATTTCAAAAAGACTATTTTATTTGTTTTCTGGCTAACCTATGAACAAATTCAAGTGGTAGGCTAAAAAGTTATGGAGAAAATTAAAAGGCTAATATACATGACATACAGACAAATTTCAAATGCTGAAGTAACTGTACCATTATCATGTTAAAAGTGAGTAATTTTCATCTCTACGATTTTATTTATAAAACTTTTGAACTAGCATTTTAGTTCACTTACAATTAAGTGACACAAGTTAACTACTCTGCAGTTATAGTTCTTAAAGTTTTATACTAGATTACAACTCTCAAAGGAATTAAGACTAAAAATTTGTGTGAAAACACAAAAACTTTATTCTGCAGAATTACAAATAAGCCCAAAGACAGTATAAATTCTAACTTACCAGGATGAATGGGTGGCATATCCATAGCCGGTCTTCCGGACATCATTCGAGGATCCATGTAGGACTGCATCATTAGCCACCTTGGGTCAAAACCCATGGAAGCCAAATGTTGAGGGTGAGGTTGCATGGGCTGGTAAAGTGGTCTGTGTGGTGGAGGAGGGACAGTACTACCAGATGGCTGTGAAGGGACAGTCTGTGGAAGTACACCTTGCTGCTGCTGTTGCTGCTGCTGCCACTGCTGCTGTTTCATCTGTTCCTAAAAAAGAGTCACATGTTGAAATTTCAGTTCCCTGTGGCAGATTGATCTTTTTACAAGAGCCAGCAAGTCCTAAAGGTAAGTTACAACATTCCACCTTATCCTTGACTTAAGAAACAGACGCAGTGTCTACAAGAGAGGCAGAATGCAAAAAGGAATGACAAAATAGCAAAAACCCTGGATCAACAAACTTTCATTAAACTTCAAGGGAAATTTCTGTGCTTTATTTATTTTAGGTTTTATGGCAAATGAATTTCTCTATTGAATAGTAAACCTTTTGACTCACACATACACAATTAAAATCTTTTTATCATTACCTGCTGTCGCTGGAATCGGGGTGGTAATGACTTCTGAAACTGTTTGAAGTAGCCAGATAGTACAGCAGGTCGAGGTTGTGATCCGGATTCTGGTTCTGATTCATGCATCACTTGAGTAGTCTCCTTTTCACTACGATTACTATCTTGTCTAGTGAAAACTGGCTCCTCTTCTGCCCAAAGAAAGGGTAAAAGTACAAATAAATGATTTTTATACTGTATGATATAAATGAGTTCTAATAAAATTTAAGAGGTGCAAAAGCAAGAAAATTGCCAATTTAGAATCTAATAATGGAAGCCATCAACAAAACACATTATCACAAAGTGAAAATCACAGATTTTCACAAAGTTAATTCTTAAAGACCACAGACCCAAAAGTTTCAATAACAAAAATCTTTGATTTTTTGTGCTATTTCAGATCCTATTCACAAAGTTAATTCTTAAAGACCACAGACCCAAATGTTTCAATAACAAAAACCTTTGATTTTTTGTGCTATTTCAGATCCTATTTCTATATGCAATTACTTAATTTCAATACTTTATAAAACTTGTATATAAAATAAATGACCTACAAATACATAACAATAGAGCACAAGAAGAAAACTAATAAGTATGAAGACAACAGTGATCACTGCCTAACTTAAAACATATAAATCATTTCCATACAGAAGGTCAAGTATAGTCACCACAAGGAGAGTCGCAAAATACAAAAAGTATACATCTCAAGGAAAACCAGTTATACTCATTTTAGAATGTCATTTGTCACAACTATAAAGCTGTCTCTTACAAATTCTTTAATCAAATGACTAGGGATAAATTTTAAAAGGAAATTTATTTGCCAACACAAAGCATGTAGTAAAGAATCACAAATCACCTATGTCTTCTTTACATAACATTAGGAGCACTGAAGATGAGCTGAAACTAAATAGCCATGAGAAAACATAAAATATGAGCAAAACTTAAAGTGTCAACATATAAGGATTATAAAAAGAAAACAATTTACATGTTATAGATACCTCTTAAGGTTGAATTAGTTCATCAGTGTCAACAGATGCATTTAATGGCAACACTATGACTAAAATATGAATTTCTTTATTACTAATCCACAGTCCTCTCTTTCAATTCCATTAGGCTACTCTTATAGTATTCATCATTACCAAAGTAGGACAATGTTATGTTTCTGTTGTGGACAATTTTAGTTCTGGTGTTAATTAATTCCTAAATACTTTACACATGTCTAATATCAATATTGGATCTATGTAGACTCATTTAACATTAAAAAATTTATGAAATTTGATCATTCTGAGTAATTATCCATCTGGGCTTTATATAATAAAAAAATAAAATATAATAAAAATAAAATACAATAAAAAAACGGAAATAGTTCTTTTTCTCTTTCACTTTTCTTCATTTTGTAGTGCTGGGCAAGCAAGGCAAGTGCTTTCCCACTACACTACACTCCCAGTCCTTCTTACGTTTCAACAGTTAAATTAAGAGCAGAATTTGAAGCTAACTGAATATAAATGAAAACAACTTTAAAAACAAATTCTTACAGTTTCAAGTGCAGGGTCTTGTAGAAAAGAAGTAAAATTTGTGGTTAGAAAATGACAGTATTTCCATATTAAAAAAACACAGTGACTACATAGGAGGATGAGGCAGGAGCACTGCGCATTAGAGGTCAAAACTGGGGACCTAGTGAAACTTTTAAACTACAAGTAAGAAAGATGGATGAGGGTTCATCTCAGTGCACCTTGGGTTCAATCCCCAGTCCTATAAAAAGTCGATCTGTGTTCCAATTTACCTCAGGTTGCCTGTTACAAATGAACTTTAATGCAATTTAAATAAGGTTTTAAACTGTACCTGAATTCTAATAGTCTATAAGCCAACTTAAGAACAGAAAAGTTACAGATTTAGAATAACTTTTAACAAAAATATAATTATTACAGGATATCATAGACTTCACTCTAACAGCATTATGAACCACAATCTCCAAGTCTGCATACAGAGCTGCCCCCTCAAATGTATAAACACCAGGAAAAGAAAGAAATTAATACAAGTTACTTTGGGGCCTCTATAATTATTCAAAGTGCTCAAAGTGATGGCAATTAACTTCCAGACATTTCTTAGGGCAGAGAACTACTAAACTGTATACTCCATATATATATATATGTAAAATGTATATGTAAATTTTTTCTGTTGAATATATGTAGTGGTAAAGTTCCACATTTACTAAAGGTAAGAAAAGCAAAACTGGAAGGGGCAAATGGGCTCTGCAGAGATAGATTTGGGCAAGTAACAGAAGGAAAAACTAAAAACTCAAATAAAATACAAATACATCCATATAGTATACAGCAGGCTATGATAAAGACAGGATGGCCTAAAGTTTCTATATTTATACTATTACTCCAGTTTAGCTCCAGAAGTATGAATGTCTGTGAACAAATGAAATTTTGTTTAGTTACGTATCTTGGAGTAAGGAAAAACTAGGAGGAATAAAAATACATAGCACCATGAAGCCAACTAAATTTTTGCAGAAAATGTTATCTAATATATTGAGAAACACTTCAGAGATGTTTGTTCACAGGTTACTTTAGAAAACATCTCTGGCCTGTATGTTGTCCTAAAAAAAGCTACCTCAAAACAATCACTTTTGATTTCAATTTATAGTAAAAACACATTCACAATGTAATTAATGTGAAATCCCTTGCAAAGTTTACGTAAGCATGAACAAGGCAAGTACCTTTACTGCAGCTTTTTTCACTCTCTTGTTTTTCTGCCACAGCCTCTAAAATAGGTTCTTTGGGTTCCATTTTTTCCTCCACTTTCTCCCTTTCCTTCTTCAAATCATATTCTTTTTCCTGTTCTTTCATATTCTGTAGTTGTTTTTCCTTTTCCCTCTGTTGTTCTAACTCTTTCTCTTTTTCTTGCTTTCTTTCCTTTTCCATTTCTCTTTGTTTTTCCTGCTCCTTCACCAGCTCTTTTTCCTTTTCCTGCTGCCTCTCTCTTTCCCTCTCCTTCTCTCGCTCTTGTTCTTGTTCCTTTTCCAGTTCTTTCTCACGCTCTTGTTCTTTTCCCCTCTCTCTCTCCCTAATTTCCTCTGGTGATGGCTGTTTTTCCACAATGCCAAGCTTCTCATCCAACCGCTTCAGTTTCTCTGCACAAGCTGCCTTTCTCTGCTCCTCCATTCTTCGCTCTTCCTCTTCACGACGTTTACGAGCACGTTCCACCGCAGCAGAAATTTCAGATTGTTGTCTTCGTCTTTGCTTCCATATTTCATCATCATCAGGAACTTGCTGCTTGGGAGGGAAAGGGCCTGATCTCCCAGTTATTCCCTGTCGATCTGGAGGTGGATGCTGAAATATTAAGTGAACGTGTTAAGTAAGGATGAAACTTTCTGACATACTGGGGATCACATATATGCACTAGTAGGGGAAAAAGGGGAAACTATCAGAAATGTAACAGCAGGAATAGCAGAAAAATAACAGAGAAGATAGTCAGTCTAGATAACATTCAATTAAGACGAGCTTAATAAGGCTATCTGCTATTGACTGAAGATGTTATCTATTGTATCAGACACTACTACCTATTATTTGTTGAATTAAATAAAAAGCACAATACCAAATCAATATCCAAATCTAAATTTAGAGAAAAAGGAAACAAAGGAAATTTAGAATATGAGTAGCTTAGTAGAAGTAGTCAAAAACTAAATGCCTCAAAAGGAGTAAAGGAGGCCCGAAATATACAAAATAGCAGCACATCATGAGCCCCGAGAAGCTTAAGGTACCAGGGAGAAGTAGAAGCCCACAGCAACAAAACGACGGAGATGAAGACAGTATGCTCATGACACAGGGAAGAAGAATCAGCATGGGTGTTGAGAATTGTATCTTTAGAGCAAAAATCTTAGTTTGAATGATTTCAACTTTTATTAATTATTAAACAATGATTTAAACTCACTGCCCAAAATTATGCTGAAACACACAGTATAAAAAACAAAGGGCTAAAATATAAATACACTGATTTCTACTCAGTGTAACAGTTTACGTTATTTTGTACATTACTGGTTTGTTCTGTTGCTGTAACAGTATTCCATTATAGGTGTATTCTTTCATCTTTGATGGACATATCGGTTATTTCCTGTTTTTAAACTATAAATAGCTATGAACATTTATACATAAGCCTTTGTATAAAGTTTTTATTTCTCCTGAATAAACAGAAGTGAAACTGCAATGTCATACATATTTCACTTTATAAGAAATTGCTAAACTATTTTCCAAAATGGTTACAAGTCCCAGAAACAACTTGTAAGACTGCAAGTTGCTCTATATTCTTGCCAAGAAATGGCAAAGACAGGTGTATAGCAAAATCTCTGTGGTTTTTAATTTTCTTTTATCTAAAGATACTGAATATTTTTCCATGTGCTTACTGACCTTTCATATATTTTCTGGAGTTAAAGTTCAAATCATTTTAGTAAGCAGTCTATTATTAAACTTTAAGAAGCTTAATTTAGCCCAATAAATTTCTTTGTCAGATGTGTTAGCAATCGTTTCTGTGACAAAGCTTTGCATTTTAAGAAGATTTCAAAGTCCAGGGGACTAAGCCATGTGCCTTTTGAGTCTTACACAAGGACTCTTTTTAAATTCAAGGTCATGGTGATTTTCTTCTAAATATTTTATTTTTAGCTTCTATGTGATAAGAAAAACTACAAAGACCATTCAGTGGTTAAGAGGAGAGAGGCTGATGGTGATGACAGTGATGCTAATGTGGCTGCAATCAGGGAAGGCCTCTGGTATAGTTTCTCAGCAGAGGATTTGATCAGAAGATGAATCTCAGTAAAACAGCCTTCCAGGTAGAGCAAAAAGCAAGTAAAATATCCTGAGGAAGGAACAAAAAAACAACTGTGGTCAAGTGTACGTAGCAGCCCTGAGGAAGAACAGCACAGAGATAGGGACCTGTGATGGAAAATAATCTGGTCAGGTACAACTGATGTAATAAGATTGTATCTTATCACAAGAGAATTTTGTATGAAAGAGACAGGTGAGCGAGACAGCAAAGGAGGAGAGTTAGACCTGTGAAGAACCTCCTGAAGCCAGGTGTGGTGGCATACTCCTTTAATCTTGCTCTCTTAGTGGCTGAGGCGGGAGGACTGCAAATTCAAATCCAGCCTGGGTGACTTAGTAAAATCCTGTCTTACAATTTTAAAAAGGGCTAGGGATATAGATCATTGAAAAAGCACTGGGTTCAGTTTCCAAAACTGCAAAACCAGACCAAACCACCAAACAAGATTCCAAGCAAAACCTAACAAACAAAAACAAAAACAAAAAAACCCCAATCAAAGCTCCTACTGCTGTTGTTCCAATGAATACAAGTATATAGACATTTTGAAGGCTGAGGTGTCATTTGTTGATAGAGCTGGATGAAGAGTAAAAAAGACACAGAAGAGTTAACTCTAAGGTTTGACCTAAGCAAATATGTGAATAATAATGAATGTCATTAGCTGAGTTGGGGAAGACAGATGCAGCAGCACTGTGTGGGAGCAGTCATGTGTGTTTGTGTATTATGATCAAACATGTACGTGTGAACTTCTACCAGACATTCAAGTGGAGGCACAGACTGATTGCTGATTGTATGACTATTAAAATCAAGGCAGGTATTTTAGGGGTAGAGAGATACATACATTTGAATATTAATGTTACTAGCTCACAGAAGGAACTACCTAGGAGAAAGTTACAAAGAAAAAAATGACTGAGAACACATGCCTCAGGGCTCCAAATCCAAAAGTAGAGAAGGTCCAAAGGTAATGAGGAAAATATTGTGATGCCTCAGAAAAAAAAATTTTTAAATGGAAAAATAAATGAGAATTAAATTTATCAAGGCGACAGTTGTCACTGACTTTGATGATCCCTTAGTAGGAGATGAAAAGATAAGGCCAGGGTTGTAGCTTAGCAGCATAGCGCTTGCCTGACAAGCTTAAGGTCATGAGTTCAATTCTCAGTGCCGAAAGAAAGACAGAGAGAGACAGAGGGAGGGGAGGGGAGGGAGGGGAGGGGAGGGGAGAAGAGAGGAGAGGAGAGGAGAGAAGAGGAAAGGAAAGGAAAGGAAAGGAAAGGAAAGGGAGAGATGAGACATAATATCATGGTGATAGAGGATGGAATCCAGGGAATAAGTGAAAAGGATGTCCTTAATAACAAAGATGACAGGAAGTCAGAGTACAAAGGCACTAAAAGGGGAAAAGCAAATATATAGTTATCTCCTATTGCTTCTAATGTTGTCTTCTTTTTTTTTTGTCTTTTTCGTTTTTATCAGTACCAAGGATAGAACTCACGACTGCCTGCTTGCAAGGCAGGCGCTTATGCTGCTGAGCTAAATCCCCAGCCCCTGCTTCTAATTTCCTTAGGAAATTAAGAACATGCTACTCAGTTGACAATAAAGATGGTGAGAATATAAAGGAAAACATGCAAGAGCTACAAGTTAAAAAACTGATTATTTTAACATAAAGTCATACATAGCACCTTTTTATCAAAAAATTAAATGAAACATATATATCAATCAGAACGTAATTAAAATTTACCTGCTGTGCAAGCAACTTTGGTGGTGGTGGCAAGTGTGAAGATGGTCCACGTTCCTATTACAAAGAAAGAATTAAAATTAGACGAGGAAAAAAAAGCATCTCCTAGGGGTATTTTTGAATATAAATACTATGCTCATTTTCTTAATGAGACAATAAAATTGCTAAAAATAAACCCATCTGTTTTATTCTCACTTAATAAAAGTACACTGCTCACTACACAATCATTTTCTAAGGAATCACTCTGTCATATCAATATAGTTATACACTCAAATGCATGTTGCAAATAGACTTTCAGTGTAGCAGATCTGGAATTTTGACTCAGGAAACCTGGCTGGGGAGAGGTGGTATCACAATATTCATGTGCTTGTATGTACAAAAAAAAAAAAAAAATCAAGACTTTACGACACAGTATGTTCTTTATATTCTTTAAGAAATTTATATTCTCTAGTATATCAATAAGACATCACACAAAATAATTTTATTAAAATATTATTTGCAGGGCTGCAGATTTAGCTCAGCAGCATAAGCGCCTGCCCAGCAAATGTCACGTCATGAGTTCAAATCCTAGTGCCAACAACAACAAAAATATGTGTGTGTGTGTGTATATATATATATAAAATTTGAAAAATTCTTTTTCAGTGTTCATCACTTTATTTCTCAACAGCTCAGCAACACTAAAATACAAGCTAAAGTCCCTCATACAGTACATAAAACAAATACTTCTTCCTGCAGATTTAAGGACTGAACGTTAGGTGTCTGTGTATGTTATATGAGTATGTTTCCATAGAGTTACAACTCCATCTCCAACAGAAGTTCTTATATATTTAACTTATCTATATCCTGTATCAAACTACTCAGGATTTCTTGAGAATGCCTTGCTTTCTCACTTTCTACTTTGTGCATGTTCTCAGTATTTGGAATAGCTGTTTGTTTACTGGTTAATTCCTGCTTAAAGAATTAGCTCAAATACCAACTCTTTTGCAAGCCTTTTGCCTTGACTGTATTCATTAAGAATTCATTATGGCCAGGGATTTAGCTCAGCGTTATTATTAGTGCTTGCCTGGCAAGCGCAAGATCATGAGTTCGATCCCTGGTACCAAAAAGAGAATTTATTATGTTAAGTCTATCACATGACTTTCCACATCCTGTTTTACTTATTACTTATTTAGCCCCTTCCTTTTCAAAGAGATCTCCTTTTCAGCTTTATGATTAGATAAATTTTAAAATACATGATTAACTATATTACACATCTTTAATGAGGGATATAGACTCTCATGAAGGTATCCCTTCTTTCAGTTTGCAGTGTACCTCTTACCACCTATTAATATCTCAGAAGTGAGATCAAGTAAGCCTGTTGCCTAGATATTTCTCCTTTTTACAATGTTCTTCAAAATGATGGACTTCATAAGGGGCCTTCCTATATGTGATTTCACTGAAAACACAGTGTGCTATTTTACACACACAGTCTAACTAGGACTTGTAAGGTATTCAGTAAATGATAAAGCACTTCTGATGTGTTCATTTTACTTTAAAAAACATTACCACTCTACTCTGACATAACTGACTTATTACAAGAAAATAAAAGGAAAAAAGTTTGTGCTTGGTGAGTTTAGCTACTGCATGATAATTACTGTTAGTACACAGTAAAAATAATCATAATAATTCAGGGTTACTTAAAAAAATACATCTTTCTCTGAGTCACTGCACAACTCTGTAAGATTGACTGATCCACACTATTAGTAATGACAAAATTATCTATGAATCAAACAAACCTGATTGAATGGAGGGCCTTTCCCATAGGGACCTTTTGCTACTGGTGGTTGAGCAGGTGTCTGGGAAGATGATTTTGTGTTGCTAACTTCATCAACCTCTTTTCGGTTTTCAGTGTTTTCAGAAGCTTTTGTACTTTGATCCTCACTGAAGAATCAAAATTCAAAGGAAAGTAGACAGATTGCATGGTAAGTATATGTTTGTTTCTATGTAGAAAAAAACCTCTATGTATCATTTTAGAGTAAAAATACTTCAAGGAACAAAACAAGTCTGTGATCTAGTAATGCTAATCCTTTCATCCAGCAAGTATATACTAGGTACATAACATGGGCTTGGGACTGGGCTTGTTCAGATTATCACAAGGCAGACAGTGTAATACAGCAGTTGCCAAATCTCAATACACTTGACAAAGGAATATAAACCTACCATTTTCTGCTCTTCCAGGAATCCAAAGTCTCACCAAATGAAATGAAGTAATACAAAGTATACTAATCAACTGTACTCTGATTTAATAAAAAAAAATGTATCAAACTATAGTTTTTAAAAATCTCAACAAATCATATCCATCTCACAAATGATGAAATTATAGTGTATCATGAAGCCATGGCTGAGAAATTATACCAATATGTCCATGAAAATTTCTTGTTTTTCAAAGTTTTAATGCTGTTTTGTTAAGATTAACAATTAAGGATCTGAAACAGCTATCGTAACCCAAAGATTTTTTTTAAATTTTGTAAAATAGAAACCAGTCATTCATGTAATAGTTTATAATGGTTTAAGATAATGGCCCGCCAAATATCCCTAATTAGATGTCAAGCATCTAAACATCTTTTTTAAAAAATGTACTTTCTTGAGAAATACCGAAGTTTAATTCTTTGATTAGATATACTACCTATGCTCATAAGTCAATAAAATGTCTTGAGTAAATTCTATTTAAAAAAAGGAATAAATAGGGGCTGGGGATTTACTCAGCAGTATAAGCACCTGCCTTGTAAACAGGCGGCCATGAGTTTGATCCCCGGTACCAATAAAAAGAAAAAAAAAAGTAAAAAAAAAAAAAGGAATAAATGCCTATAAATGAAGCTGGTCTGCATGAAGAGTTAATGTTCTATCAATAAATTTATACCACTATTATTGAAAAATATCAAAACAATTACCTGTTATTCTCTTTAGGACTACTACTTCCTTGTTCATCATCATCACTGAAATTAAGCTGTTCTGTATAATCTACTTCCATCTGGGCACCTAGTAAATTAAGGCAGACTCAGGTTGATTGCTTAAAAACATCTAAAAATTCAGTGCTTACCTAATTTTGTCTCTTACCTGCCCAACCTTCATCAGCTTCAGCATCTAGGTTATCAAATTTATCAAGTTCCTTCAGTTCTGACGCACTGAGAATGGACGGGCGTTCGGGCTCAGAGGCCCAGGAAGGAGGAGGGCCTCTTCCTCGAAGGCCTCTAATAAGAGATCATGGTGGGAAAAGATGAAATTTTAAGAGACATTACACTAGGACAATACTAAAAGACTAGAATTTAGTTCACAATGAGGCATATGAAATGTATGGCACTGACATGGGTCTAACGAAATTAACATTGGAACAGGAATGCATTATAGAATTCTTATGTATTTAATAGCTAAGTTTTAAAAGCAATTCTTAAAAGATTTAAAATAGAATCATTGAAATGAGTTTCAAATGTACAACTTAAAAAAAACTATCATTCAAGAAGATGCTCAAATTTCATTCAAAAAAAAGATAAGAGTTGGTAACATGAAAGGAAAAAGAAACAAATATTATCATAGTTAGGATCACGATTTCCAAAGTTTTTTTTTAATGGCGATTTTTAAAAAGAATAAAGTATTTGTTCTGTCTCATTAGAGCTAGCCAATAATCTTAGTGGAAAGGTATTATAAAACTAGAAAAATGGCTTAAGCAACACAATCCACTATAACATTCAGAAAATATTTATGACCACAGTCTTACTTGTTTGTTTCAGATAAAGAAGGCGGGAACCTCACTGGACCATGTAGAGGAGGATATGCCATCCGTGGATACTGCTGAAACATCTGAATGAAGGAAACCAAAAATTTTAATAATATAGGTCTAAAAAATAAATCTGACAAAGCTAGAAACAACACAAAATAAATGATTATAAAACAAACATCTATAAAACAAAAATGCTGATACAGCAATTTAGAAGATCAGTGGCTCCATCAAGTTTTTACAAACTGAATAGGGTACATCATAGAATGAACTTCTTTATCCCATTAGTGAAACTACATAAAAAAAAATTGCATAATGATGTGAAAAGCTTTAAAAAGCCAGCATATACATGATACACTCCAGAAAACTGGAAAGCCTTAACAAAGTGAGAATGTTTGAGTGAGAAATAATGTAAAACAGACATTGAATAATTAGAGACAGATTTATAGATGTAGAAGTCAGTTCAAAGTAAGGAGTAATTTATAACCCCAAGAACAGAGGGAGGAATGAAGGAGGAAGCTACTATGAGCAAGGAAGTCTCTTAATGTAGGCCACTGCAAAGACTGATAATTATAAACTAAGCCCCTCAAACAGTCAAGTTGATGTGCTCTATGGGAGTTTGGCTTTGAGAAACTATACTTACAAGAGAAGACATAAGATAGGTTATGAAGATATTATAAATACAATAATCTGGAAAGGAACAGAGTCACTGAGTGCATGGCCACTGTGATGGTTTATGTGTGGCCTCCAGGCTTCATGCGTTTGCATTGTGCATTTGTGACTGATTCACTGTGTAGTGCTTGGATTGATGGTGTCAGTACTACACCCGCCTAGGGGTGGAGCCAGCATACAACGAAATGGCTGGAAGAAGGTAAGTGTTTCTCTCTCTTGCTGATTTCTGCTTGCTGTTTGCAGCGGCCATGAACTGCGGCCCCACCACGTCACCCTGAGTATGGACTGAAACGTCCAAAACCTGTAAAAAATAAACCTTTCCTTTCCCAACTTTGGGTATCAGGCATTTTTGTCTCAGAGCTGAGGAAAAAGTAACTAAGCCACTTACTAGTTCCTTATATCAAGGTTAACTTAGGTAATAATATGAAAGTATATTATCTTAAACACTTAATTTATCTAAGGAAAATTTTTTGTGTGTGGGAGGGATAGTCTAGAAAATTACTGGTTGGCTATGTCATAATTAAAAGTTAGTAGATAGAGGCAGGTGCAGTGCCACATGCCTATAAATCCTAGTAGTGGGGAGGCTGCAGTAACAGGCTAACACTGAGTTAGAGAGCAGCCTGGATTACATGGCCATGGCAAGACCCTGTCTCAAAAAAAAAAAAAAAAAAAAAAAGTAAAATCAGTATTGGATAAAAGTATTAATAGGTACATTAGATCTTTCTAATCTTTCAGATACAAAGATGAGTTTTATGTAGCCATAAATGCTTAAAATTTAAGAATTTGCCACAAAATTATAGAACAATTCTTAAATTCCTAACATAAAGAAATGTCTTAAAAGAATTTTAATATTATCAGTAGAATACTCAAATAAAATGATAATGATACTGGGAATGAAGCTGACTTCTTCCCTATCTCATCCTTATACCCACATCTGAGAGTTTAAGAGCTTCTGCTATTACAACCTGAAAATTATCAGGAGACAACTACTTCAACATATTTTCAAGACCAAAAGATCATGTAAGATCTTTATCACACTCCAAAATCTCTTTTCAGGAGACTATATATAATAACCTCTAGGAAACATTTTATAAAGCATGATGGTTAAGCGTAACTGTCATCTTGACTAGATTACAACTCTTGGAGAGGATGAATGAATAATCATTAGTGGATTAACCCACTGAATGTTCAAAGATGAATGTGCTGTTGGAAGGCAGGTTCAAGCAGGATTTGGGTCACTGGAGGTGTGCCTTTGGAGAATGTATCTCTTCCCAACACTCTGCCCTTGTGCTCTCTTTCCTGGCGGCCTACCATACTTCTGCTTTGCAGCCAGCAACCCATGGATTAAACCCCCTGAAAGTACAAGATAAGTTAAAGTTCCTTTAAATTGTGAATGTTGGATATCGTGTACCAACAATGGGAAAGCTGACAAATACAACAGTAATTGTATTTAATTATTTCCCTCTATTATTCGAGAATGGTTAAAAAGTAATGCAAAGGAACAGAAAATGCCATGGATATTTAGCACTTGAATAGTTAGGAATTAAACCACAAACTAAATAAATATAATCTAAATTATTCTTCACTATGAGTAATACAACTTCTCAAAATTTAAATTTATTTACCCGGACACACGTAACTTGCCATATAACTTCAGAGCAGGCTAAAGCAAACAAGAGAACACAATCCTAACTACTAGTCTATAGAAAATACAGCAAACAGAAGTACTTACTAAACATAACTATGAAAGTGGAACCAGGAAAATGTGAACTCTAGAAAACACTAGAGGAGTAACAACTTTTACTAAATAAACTTCAGAGAAAGTAAGAGATAACAAGATTCTTAAAGAAAGCATATTGCCTGGATCCTGTGAGACAGAAACTAGAATAGTGACATGACATTTGAGGATATTAAGGAATTATGTTTTCTTTCTGATATAATAATAGCATTTTGTACTTTTTCCCAAGTCTTTAGGATTTACTTTAATAATCTGAAAGTAGTGGGGGAAAGGGGAATTTACTGTGCTGTTATCTTCATTTTTGTAGATCTTTAAACTCTGATAATCAAGTTTTTAAAAAAATTAAACACACACTAAACCCTTTCAAAATTAAAGTCAGTATTATTTTTAATACGTAAAAGATATTTTCAACAATTGATAAACCCTATGTACCTCTTCTGAGCAAAACATTTTAAATTTATAAAATAAAACAGTATAACAAAGAACAATTATATCAGCCAGGCATGGTGGTGCACACTTATAATCCCAACACTCAGGAGTGGCTGAGGCAGGAGGTTGGCTGCCACGTTGAGACCAGTCTGGGATACAAAGTGAGCTCAAGGCTGGGCTGAACTGCAGAGACCTTATCTCAAAACAACACCAAAAATTACATCAAAATTCTAGCATCACAACATTTAAGAAATTTGTGACATAGCAATGTATTTCTTTATTAAATCAATAAATAAGAGGTCTATTTATGGATCTACAAGTATTCTGAAGTAATCTTGAATATAATGATATAAAATATCTGATCACTATTAATGATAGGTACACTGCTGATGATAATATTGTGGTTTGTTTCCCATTGTCACTGCTGAACAAAACACTGGTTTGTAGTAAGATATTAATGAAAATAAAGGCTTAAACTTGCCCCTGTTCAAATTCTTTCCTTGGATTCCAGATAAATACTCTTATTTGATTGCTAATGTAACAATACTCACATAAGGTGGCATCATAGCTCTATACTGGGAAGCAAGAGTAGGTTGCTGTCCATTCAGTTTAGCCTGTGGAGGACCACAAGCTATCCTCTTTTCCACCACTTTAAGGATGTCACTTTGTTCTGATGTTACAGCTGTGTTTTCATCCTGAACAAGCTTTTCATCTTGATCTGATGAGGAAGATGGGCCAGCAGATTTACCACCATCTCTCCAACAAGCAACATCTGATATAAAAAGACAAAAATGGAGAAAACCATCTGAAGATGGAACAATAAAATCAACTTAAAAGTATTTCAAGATGTAAGCAAATAAGCATAATGAAGGAAAGATCAGGGCAACTCTAATATGAATGCTACTAATACTTTGAAAGTATTTAGGTAGGGGCTGGGGATTTAGCTCAGCGGCATAAGAACCTGCCTTGCAAGCAGGCGGTCTAGAATTCGATCCCTGGTACCGATAAAAATGAAAAAGACAAAAAAAAAAAAAAAAAAAAAAAAAAAAAAAAAAAAAAAAAAAGAAAGTATTTAGGTAGTATAGAGCAGTAACTTCCAAAATCAGAGTGGCTATAGCCACTTGTTATCACAAGCAAATATGGGGGTGAGAAAATATTAGAACTTCTCTATGAAGCTTATCAATATTTGATACAGATTAAAATCCCCATTATTATTTGCCTTATTATGTCAGATGATTGTATTTCAGGATAAGATACCTTCTTTCCTGTGAAACAAGAGTTCTACAACTCACAAGGCTTGACAATGAAGCTCCCATTTTACAGACTTTCAGTCAAGTATTCCTAGGTACATGTGCTAAGTGAACAGATTTTGTGACATTATCTTATTTCATTACCCTTTATCAAATTTCATTTAGCAAGAAAACTTTTGTGGTACCAATCTCCAAAATGGTCAGAATGGTCTCTATCTCCTGGTATTCCCACCCGTTATAGCCCCCTTTCTCAGGTTTGTTTGTACAAATTATAGAATACAGCAGAAGAGGCAGCATGCCCCTTTCCAGTTAGGTTATAAAAGACTGAGTTTTTCTTGGGTAGGCAATGTCTGTCTCTTTCTCCTGAGATATTCTGGGGAAGTTGTATTGTGAGCAACCCGAGTCAAGAAAGCCTCCAATGATGCTTCACATTGCAGCCTTCTGTGGGTCACTGAGGCACAATTCCCAAGCAGGCTGCCCTTGGATTCCTATAACCATGAATTATTGTGAGAGAAAATAACTCTGACTTGGTTTCTTGTTTTGCATTGCTAAATTTGTTAAGCAGCAATAAATAACTAGTAAAAATTCAACTGAACAGGAGAGAAGTGGACCCAATACGATCATTTCTAACAGAAATTCATTGTTACATTACAAAGATTAAAACTAAAATTATCTATTCAGATTTGACAACAAGTCAAAAGAAACATAAAATGTAAAAATATGGCTTTGTGAAAATTTCTTTCCTAGAGGAACCCCATCACATATGTATAAGGTCCTTTGCAATATTGGGTAATGACAATATGAAGCTAACACAATGAGACACTTAAAAATTCTCTATAAAAATTTTTTACAGCTTTTTCTATTTTTAGTTTGTGCTTATGTAGTATAACTATTCAAAATTTGTTTCCTCAGTTCGAGTTCCGAAAGTAAGGAATAGTAAATAGATATAGCTGAATATTGCATAGGTTTCTTCAAAACCTTTTGTTACTATAAAAATATTACTCTGGGCATCTTACTAAAATGCAGACTTCAATTTTGCCAGTCAGATGTGAAGCCCAAGATTATACATGTCTGAAAAGGTCTTCACTGTAACAATACTGTTGGTACAAAAATTACATCTATTCCAGTAGCCAGTGAATATTGTGCTAGTCTGTCTTTTTAAAGCAGGCAAGTTACACATACAAAATGGCATGCAGAGGGTTGTATCACCAGATGAAGTGTAGTCTCATTCTGCAGCTTTATTCAATAGAAAGTACTCTTACTTGGTGGACGTAAACTGGGTCCAGGTCCGTAGTTGTCATCATTTGCTTCCTTTTCTTTTTTCTCCTGATCCCCTGCTGCCTGCAAGCTGGGAAATTCCTGCTGAAATTGACTATTCACCTGGATTCCTATAGTTATTTGAGGGGGGGAAAAAAAAGGGCAACTTTTATACTGAAGATAATTCAAACAACCCTCCCAGGATAGAACTTTTTGCTTCTTTTTTATACATTGTTCTGCATTTCAAAAATTGTTCGCATTTATAAAAGTTTAAATTTATCTTAATTCTTTGAAAAGTTAATGAACAGCCATGAGGAGATAAAAATCTAAGAAAGGAACCTGCCTGTCATATTCCAGAGGATTCATTTAAGGTAAGTGGGCAACTGAAGAATTTCAAAATATTTTAGCTACAAACTTCACGTTCCCACAGGCTTGAACCACCACTGAGTGATACCTGTGTCTGTCTCATCAGGTGGCTGATACTACTGGTGGTACAAATGGAGCTAATCACTTTTTTTTTGTCTTTTTCGTTTTTATCGGTACCAGGGATCCAACTCACAACTGCACACTTGCAAGGTAGGCGCTTATGCCGCTGAGCTAAATCCCCAGCCCGAGCTAATCACTTTTATCACAGTCTTTTCACTAATAAAATTAACAAAGTCTATAAATGGACTGGGTCTAGTTAACTGCTCCAGTTTGAATAACTACTGCTGAAATATAAATACTATTTGTCTAAGTTACCTTCTTATTGCTTAGACAAAAACACCCAACACCTAAAGTTAAAAGAGAAAAGGTTTATTTAGCTCAGTTTGTAGAGACTTCAGTCTATAATCAGCTGACTCCAAGGCAGGGTGGAACGGCAGACAGGCATTCTAAAGCAGAAACAGTTCATGGTAGGCAGAAGGTAGCAAAGCAAGCAAGAAAGAAGACAAGTTCTTTCTGTCCTTCCACTGTTATCCAGGCAACCACACACTCTTAATCCCAGCCTCACACAGTAGATTCAGTCACCCCTGAAAAAGCCCCACTTGTAACTGCATCACACTTGGGGGGATATCTAGAACCAAACCAGAACATTCCACCTTGGCCCTCCAAAAATTTGTACATATTCCTTTATGCAAAAGGCATTTAGTTCCATCTCTAAGAGCTGCCCAAGTCCTAACAGTTTCAGCACTGCTGAAAAGTTCAGGTCCCAAGACCCTTCTGAGATTTAAATCCAGCAGTGCAAACATTAAGTCCTGTAGTTTCTTGCACACCATTCAAGGGACTCTGCTAAGATGTGAACTCCAACAGGCTTGAATGGCTTCAGCGCTAATTTGTCCAGTGGCTGAAGCTCTCAGGCTTCTCTTTTGGGCTGGCTCTGCTCCCTTTCAGTTTTCCTTAGACAAGCCAAGCTTCTTGCTTCCCCAGACTCTTGGGGTCTCTTATCTTACCTTTGGCTTCACACACTGCTGGCCTCCCAGATCGTCTTCTGAAATCTGGAAGAAAGCCTTCCTGACTCCATACTCTTATATTTTGCTTACCTAAAACTAGCACCATGTGGCTAGCTGATCCAAGAACTGTTGCCAGCTGGAACACTAGCCAGGCTTCCTTCTCTATTGGGTGTCAGATTCAAAAGCTTGGATCATGGAGCACTCTGAACCTACCTCAAAGAATAAATTCTCTAGGTCACTGCTATTATAAAACATGGTTCTATGGGCTTTATTTTTTTCTTCTTCTTCTTTTTTTTTTTTGTCTTTTTCATTTTTATTGGTACCAAGGATCGAACTCACGACCGCCTGCTTGCAAGGCAGGTGCTTATGCCGCTGAGCTAAATCCCCAGCCCCTGGGCTTTCTTCTTAAAGAGCTAGTGTTGCAAAGGTTGGAGTCCTACTGGTTCTTGAGATATCCTCAGGCCACCTTTGTAGTCTTCTTAAATACTTTAAATACTTTCAGTTTTCAGAAGTCTATTTCTCCGTGGCTCCATTTCTTTTTTTTTTTTTGGTCTTTTTCGTTTTTATCGGTACCAGGGATCGAATTGCCTGCTTGCAAGGCAGGCGCTTATGCCGCTGAGCTAAATCCCCAGCTCCCGAGAAGGAGTACTTTCTTTCTTTCTTTTTTTGTCTTTTTCGTTTTTATCGGTACCAGGGATCTAACTCACGACTGCCTGCTTGCAAGGCAGGCGCTTATGCCGCTGAGCTAAATCCCCAGCCCCATGGCTCCATTTCTATAGGCCTCAACTTTACTGCAGCTTCCTTTCTGGACAAACTCACAACATTTTGAACCATTCTGTTGGCCTCCACATAAATCTGGCAAAAAGCCTCCATAAACAGTCATGCCACTACTTCAACATTAGACTGCCTTAAGATTTCATCTGGAAGATTAGTATGCTACCCTTAATCTCAGCCTCAGGCAAAATCTCTAGACAGGAGCAAAATACAAACTTTCTGCTAAGCCACAATATACAATGCCTAGAGTCCAACAGTCAATGCAGTCCTCCTTTGCAGCAGAAACTTCCTGAGCCTGGTCTTTACCAGCAACATTTCTGTCAGCATTCTGGTCTTCTGAGCTTTGACTAGAATCTCTCATGAAGTACAGTGTAAGGTATTTCAGCTCTACTTTTTCAGATAATATCTCCAAATCCTTCCTAATCCTTCCCCTTCCCACAAACCAGTTCCAAAGGCTCTTGAACCATATGATAAAGTATAGTGTCAGCAAAAACCTCACTTCTCTGGTACCAAATTTGTCTTAGTTACCTTTTCATTGCTGAGAAAAGAAATACCTGACACTCCAAATTAAAGCAGGAAAAGTTTATTTAGCTCATAGTTTGCAGTAGTTTCAGTCTCATCAGGTAGCCTTAAGGCAGGGTGCATGGCAGACAGGCACTACAGAGTGAAAACAGTTCATAGTGGGCAAAAGACAGCAGAGCAAGCAAAAAGATGATAAGCCTCTTTCTGTCCTTTATACGTATCTAATTAACAAGATTAGGAAGGTGGCAAACTACTCAGTGGGCTGGTTTAGTAATCACACAACACAACCTTAATCCCAGCATTACACACTCTCATAGATTCACCCACCTCTGAAAAAGCCCCGCCTGTGATCACATGAGGATTTGGGAGAACACTACCTAGACCTAACCTACAATACTATTCATACCAATTTTAAAAATTACTACAAAAATAAATAACTTATTTCATTAAATCAGCTTTCCAGCAGTGAGACATAAAATTATGGCCCCATTATAAACATGTTAAATTGTATTTCTTCAATGAATAAATTTTTATAATCTTTATACTCTTTTACAAAGACTTTTATGAATAAATACTGCTATGAATCAAGGTAAGGCTAAAATGTCTGCATATAATTACAACTTTTATTTAATTTACAACTGAGAAACTAATTCCATGTTACTATTTGCTTCTAAATTAATTCAAAAAAGCTAATTTTAAAGAGCTTGAGGGTATGGATCGATTCTCTTGTAGAAGTCTACTTGATAGACTGTTTTGTTTTGCCAGGTAGGAAAATTAACATCTGTTGGGAAGGGGAGTGTCACAGCTACCGTGCTTTATGGTTGTTCTCAAGCTCCTCTCCAACCAAGATAGCAAAACAGCATGTGTGAAACAGAAGAGCTTGGGGAGCACAGAGGAAATGAATACAATTTCCAATAACCCACAGTGTTTAGATACTTCTATGCCTCACAGATATAAACTTTGGACATATAGTGGTACAGATGTTTAAAAAAAAGGAGAAATAGCTTGAAGAATCTCTTAAGATCCTTCTTATGGATTTCAATGTATCCTTTACAATGCTTTCTACACCTACCAGACCTTTATCTCCTGCATGGCTGCTCAGTAACTATCATACCTAACCGGATTCCCCAGCTAATGTCCACTTACCATCTCCTTGCCCACCTTGCTTGTTACTGGCCCATGATTTAGGAGCAGGTGCTATTTCTGGGGGAGGTGCAACCCCAGGTTTTGGCTGTGCTGGTGACACTTCTGGTGCTCTTAAAAAAAATATGAATCCATTATTTCAGATATTGCACACTTTTAACTAAAACCAAATCCAATCCAATCAATGATAACACATAACATGAGTTTGCGTACAACTTATCTTGGTTACATGCTTACTCATAGATACAGTTCCTATAAAAGGTTTTCTTCTGTAATGTCCCTTTAAATGAATTTGGCAGGCTGCAGTTTAGCTCAGCAGCACAAGTGCCTGCCTGGCAAGTGCAAGGTCATGAGTGTGATCCCTGACACCCACCAAAAAATAAATAATAAAGAAATAAAATAGGGGCTGGGGATTTAGCTCAGTGGCATAAGCGCCTGCCTTGCAAGCAGACAGTCGTGAGTTCGATCCCTGGTACTGATAAAAAGGAAAAAGACAAAAAAAAAAAAAAAAAAAAAAAAAAAAAGAAAGAAAAGAAAAGAAATAAAATAAAAATAAGTAAATGAATGAATTTGGTTATTTTTGTCTCCATTCATATCTATCTTTGATAACCCAATAACATGATAGCTTTGCTTATTTTCCATTTTGTTAAAAAAAAAAGTAAACATCAACAATGTTTTGAGGAAGTGAACACTTATATGCATATATACAGTTTGGCTCAATACATTTGTTGGGGGCTAAGGCTAGGCAGCTCTCCATCTGGCTATCATTATGTTCATCACTGTACTTTCTACTATAATTTTAAATAGGTAAAAAAAACCTGTCTGACCTATTCCCATCAGTAAAAGATATTTTTAAAGGGTCTACATAATTTTACTGAATTCTTACAATGTGATGTTTAAAAATTAAAAGCAGTTAAAAGACTCAAGAAAATTTCTGGTACACTCAGACTTGTTATTATGAAATAGTTCTACTACACCTGATAGTCAGAGGACAATTCTACAAAGACCTTCTATATGAGTTGTCAAATTTACTACGCAAAGCTCCATACGAGGCATATAAAAATCTAATAGTAGATACAGGCAAAAATTCCACTGAGTTCCCAATACCTCAACTATAAAAATTATTATGATTTAGTTTAAATTAACTATGAGTCTGGCACACTGCTTGACACATAGAAAACTAAGTAACTGTTGAATGAATGATGATTAAGACAGATGATAGTAATTCCCAAATTTATTCAATAAATGTTTGGGTACCCATGATACATACAGATATGCAGGGAACCAGTAGACAGAAATCTTCAGCATCATGGAATTTAGGTAACTGAACCAGTTCTTACTGATTAGAAAAAAAATGCTTGATTTGGCAAGGGTGGGAGAGGACACAGTATAACATAAGACAAGTTATGGTAAACAATTCTGTTACATTTCTACCTTAATAGAAATACTATCACTAAATCACTCACAGGAAAAAAGTCCCTATATAATGAAAGACTTTAAAAACACATGAAATACGTACTATAGAGAGTATTTCACTTAGCATACAGTAGGTACTCAAACGTAAGTTCCCTTAAAAAAAAAAAAGGATTCATTCTTTAACAGACTTTGACTCACTTCTCTTCTTCATGCTGCTCTTGTTTAGATGCCCATCCTGTGCCATCTTTAGGTACAATGTTCACATTTGGATCATTGCCTTTGTTTTCTGCTTTGAGACTTGGGAGGTTAGCAGGTGGAGGCATGCGCCTTGAAATACCAACTTTTCCAAGACTTTGTAACCCATGTCGAGCTGCAACTAAAAGTTCAATAACATCAACTTTCTTAGAACATCTATTTTGTTATCAACCAAAGAAAAACAACAATAACAAAAAAAAAAAATTAAAAAAGAGGAAACTGATTATTCCTAATGTTAAAGATTTGTAAATTGAACCAGAGACCTGCAACATAATTCAATGCAGAAAAACAATCAAACTATTCAATAGCTTCAAAATTTTTAAAATGCAGGTGAGTGTCATGGCTTGTACTTGTTAATACCAGTGTACTTGGGAGGTTGAATCAAGAGGATCACTCGATCCCAGCAGTTTGAGGCAACACTGTGAGACACTGCCTCAAAAAATCAGAAGTTCAAAACTAAAACAAACAAATTTCTAACACTGTACTCTAATACAACATGGATAGAAAAAGAAAACAAAGGCTGATAGTAACAGTCTTAAAATTTTTCAGGAAATACCCCAAGTTTAAAACTGAGAATGCAGGGCTGGGGATTTAGCTCAGCGGAATAAGCGCCTGCCTTGCAAGCAGCCAGTCATGAGTTCAATCCCTGGTACCGATAAAAAGGAAAAAGACAAAAAAAAAAAAAAAACTGAGAATGCTAAAGAATAGACGTACAGGGGCTGGGGATTTAGCTCAGAGGCATAAGCACCTGCCTTGCAAGCAGGCAGTCGTGAGTTCGATTCCTGGTACCGATAAAAATGAAAAAGACAAAAAGAATGGACGTACTGATTTTATGCTAATGCTAATATATAACAAACATGGCCAAATTTTTCATTTCCACTTTTTTAGTGGACCCAAAGAAAACAAAACCACAGGACTTTATTCTACCATTGAAGAGACAGAAAACACTAATACCTAGCTGTGTGCTAGCAATTTCATAGACAAGCCTTCTGTTTGGAATTGCATTGTTATACTTAATTTTCAGCTGACAACAAAGACAGAGACAGAAAAAAACACTTCCAAAGGCCTTTATAAAAGTGTAAATTTTCAATTGTAAAATATTTAATTTATGCTACCTGAAATGTATGTGAATATATAAAAAAGATCAATGAAAACAGAGTTACATTAACTTGGGGTTTGTTGTAGCTTCTAATAGTAGCAGTTCTGGTTGAGTCATCTATAGTAACAAAACCAGAAAAGAAGATATACATGCCATTTGATTTTACTCACCTGTAGTTTTCTGAGTTTCCAGTGATTTTCCCTTGTAAGTATTAAATAAACTGAGTGTTGCATACTTTTTCCCATCCTTTGCTTTTGTGCTCTGGCCTGACTTCTCCGACATTTCGGTGGAAACTCATCGAGTCCAAAACCTCCTGCCACACTGCTCAAAACCAGTCTATAAGAGGCATATAAGAAGGAAAAACAAAGAGAAAGCTTTTAGAATTTATTAGCAGAGTAAAAACTTAGAAACTTCAAATGCTCACAGAAATGAAGATAACAATCCTCAGTAACTCACATCAGTGGTAATTCCATAGACTTCTTTAGTATTGTTCAATTCCAGTAGCCAATACACAGTAAACTACTGTCTACCTATGCCCTTTAATACATGTTGTCTCCCAAATAAAAAGTAAACAAAGTATATGAGGGGTGTATTCTGTGAAATAAGAAAGGCAGACAAAAAAATAGCTACTCAGAGGGCTAAAAAAAGCTCTTCTTTCAGAAGTTAATGAATTTCTAGTTTTTCTTTAATACCACAGTGCACCAGAAAAAGGCTAAGTCATAAATACCACCTGATTGTGGTATAAGTGCATTTAAGTGATAATACAAACTATGACTTACTGTGCCTACTGCTATAAAAGAACACACATCTCTAAATGCACAATTTGTAGCCATAAGAATGAGACTAAATTGAGCATGGTGGTACACACCTGTAATGCAAGTTTAAGGCCAGTCTAGGGAACATAATAAGAACCTATCTCAAAAAATTAAAAAAGGCTAGGAATGTAGTTCGGTTCTTTCTAGGTTCAAACCCTAATGCTATGGAGGTAAGGAGGAGGTGATTAGACCAATGAGAAAGGTGATTAGACCAATGAAATTCCACTACACCAGTTTGCCACTTAATTGTGAATACTTTTTAAAGTTTAATTTAGCTTATTAGCTTTCTAGTGTCTTCTAAAAGGCAGGGCAGATAATATTCAACTTGATCAATACACTCTTGAGAGAAATGCCAGTGGTCTGTTCAAAATTAATGCATGTTTGTAGGGAAAAACATCAAAAGAATCCAAGCTATTCAAAAGTCATAATCACAACTTACTTTCACTTTGTATGCTTTAAGACCTTTTTAAAAATCTAATTCCTATAATGAATAAAACAATCACGACTACCTAAGGGAGTAACAATCAAGACCAACAGACTTTTGACGAAGATGATAGAGGAAACACATTTATCCTCTCTCTTTAGAAACTACTAAATAACTGGGCTGTGTGCACCTATGTGTATGCATATAGATGAAGACAAAAATTCAGGGCATTTGAGAAACAAAATTAAACATCCAATTGCCTAATTTACTATCTGGAAAGTTCCCAGGCCCTGACATACAGAAAGAAACTAAAGTAGAGGCTAGAGAATTCTTAATTTCAGAAATATGAAGCTGAGAGTACATGGAGACAAGGTAAGCAATGATTCACTTCTGGAAAGAAGGTTACACAGACAGAAAATACTACAGAGCTGTAGAGAATTCTCCTTAAGTACCAATCTACACAACTGTGGAAGATACTACCTTGAAACATTAGAGGACCAGTGCCTGGAGCTCTAAAAGGGTTGGGAATAGTGCTAACCCTCCCAAGTCAGATTTTAAAAAGTCATGATTCACTATGTATTAGGTAGAGTACTCAGAAAAACCTTGCCTCAGAAGTGGTTAAAAATTACCCTAAATAAATACTGTTGTTACCAATCTGAAAATTAAAGGCCCAAAGGATGTAATCATTCCCCAGTAACTTTACAGAACCTCAGAATCAATTTAAATACTTCCTTAAAAAAAAAAAATATCCATCACCAGAGAAGAAATTTTTAGTGAATGTGGCATTCACTAACAAATTATCATGTAAGCAAAGAGGCCAAAAAACGCAAAGCATAGTATAGGGGAATATCAATAAACTGAAACCAGTATCAGTATCACTGTAGACATTAAAATTAGTGTATAAAAATGTTACTGTTATCCATGATATATCCTACCTGCTTCAAATACAAACAGAACACATGAAAAATACAAACACATGAAAGCTTAATAGAAATGAAAAATACACTAGATAAATTTAGGATAAGTTAACCAACATTTGAGACACCTTCAAAGGAGAGAATAGTGGATTTAAAGCCAACAGAAACTACCCAAAATAAAAGAGGAAAAAAGACAGCAATAAAACAAGCTGGGTATAGTGGCCCACACCCCTGTAATCCCAGCACTCAGGAAACTGAGGCAGGACAATCACTGTGAGTTCAAGGCCAGCTTGCACTATGTTGCAAGACTCTGAGTCAAAAGCCAAAACCAAACAAAACAACAAAAAACCCAACTCCCCCCCAAAACCCCAACAAAATAAAAACACTAACAATAGGCTTTGCGACAACTTTAGGTAGCCTGAAGAGGGAGACAAGAAACTGGGAAAAAATGGCCAAAAATGTTATAAATTTGGTAATTATAAACCCAGATTTAAAACTCAGTAGAGTCCAAGCATAGGAAACTTTAAGAAATATATACAACCAAGCCCATCAACAAACAGAAAATGAAACTAATACAATTCACAATGGAATTAAAAAAATGAAACATAGATGTATCTACATTTGCCTTGTTTTGAAATCATGTAATGCTTTCATTCTTTTGATTGGTTTTGTTCTGTTTGACTTTATTGTGTGTGATGGTGTGGACAGCTATTTTGAAGAAAATGGAGACACTTATGGTAGCCACTGTTGATTTCTTGTTGTCTTGTTTTGAAGCCCTGTGTTGCTTGCATTGTTCTGTTGTGATTTGCCTTGTCCTGTTTTGTTTTATTCTCTTTAAAATAAAATACATCTAAAATAAAATAATAGAAGACCTGTATTCTGAAAACTACAAAGTATCAAAGAAAGGCCAGATGGATATATGCCACCAGGTTAATGGATCACAAAATTTACTATTAAGATGTCACATCTTATCAAACTGATCTACAGATTCAAAGCACTCCAAAGCACACCACAGAAGGTATTGTTTTTTTGCAACAGACTTTGTCAAGTTGATTTTAGCATCCATAAAGAAATGGGCAGAACCTTCATTAATCAAATGAAAAAAATAAGAAAAGTGAGTATCACCTGACTTCAAAACTTAAAGCATGGGAAAACAGTATGGTACCAGTGTAAAAATAAAATAGGTTAACAAAACAGTCTAGTAATGTAAATATATGAATATTTGCTTTTGACAAATGCAAAGAAAACTCAGATGATAAAAGTCTTTCCAACAAACCATACTGGGGCAGTTTATTAAAATATTACATAAAAACATTAACTCCGTTCTCTACCTATAACCGTACTGGGGCAGTTTGTTTGTTTATTTATTTATTTATTTTTAATGTTTCTGTTTTAGTATTGAGATCTTTGATCCACTCGTAATTTAGTTTAATGCATGTTGAAAGATATGTGTCCAATTTTAATCTTTGATATGTGCAGAGTTAGTTTTACTGGGACAGTTTATTAAAACATTATATAAAAACATTAACTCGGGGCTGGGAAGTTTAGCTCAGCAGCAGAAGCACCTGCCTTGCAAGCAGGCGGTCGTGAGTTCGATCCCTGGTACCAATAAAAAATTTAAAAAAAAACTAACTTTGTTCTCTACCTATAAACAAAATTGAACTCAAATGTACCATAAAATGTAAAACCTAAAACTGTAAAAATTTATAGAGAAAACATAAAGAGCAAATTTTGTGGCACTTGGTTACATAAAGGTTAGGTACAACTCTGAAAGCACAATCCATACAACATTAAATATACAAGCTGGAGTTAAAAAAAAAGACACTGAAAACAAGAAGCAAGCTATAAACTGGGAAAAAATTTTTCATATCATACACATGATAATTTTAAGGCAAAATACATACAAAATCCAACTCAGGAAAGAAAAAATTTCCAATTTTAAAAAATAGACCCAACTTGAACCGACTACCAGAAAGACACAAATGACCCAAAACTATCCAAAGGTGTTCAGCATCATTTTTACCTGGAAAATGCAAAGTGAAACCAAAATAAACAAAATGCTAAAATTAAAGAATAATTTTACTAGGTATTGACAAAGAGGTAGAAGAACTAGAATACATGGCTTCTGGGAATGAAAAATGGCAATGGACACTCAGAGGCTGAGGCAAGAGGATCATTGCAAGTTTAAGGCTAGCCCAGGCTACAAAGTGACTTGAAGGACAGCCTGAACTGTACAGTGAAACCCTGTCTCAAAAAAACTGAAAAAATTATTAATCTCACAAAGTAATCCTCTATAGCAGTGATGGCATACATTTGTTATCACTGAAAGCTATCTGTTATTAATGAAAGCTCTAAAAAGTTCCCTGTCATTGCTCCATAGGGTTACAAAGACAGTAAAGCTTCCCTAATGTTGCAATGATAATATTCATCCAAACACATTTTTGTAATAAATGTACATTGAGAACAACTGTCAAATGTCGTATTAGATGTTAGGACATATTATGAAAGATTCAACCAGATAAATGGATAGTAAAACAGAAAAAGAAACTTCTGATAAACGGTAAAGTCCAGAATATAAAGTCGGAACAAGAAAGAACAGAGACAAAAAAAAAATCTATCAGTGGTTGTTAATCCAGGCTGTACAGGCGTATAAAAGGCATAAAAAAAACCTTGTCTGCTGGGGCCCAATGCTAGACAAATAAAACAGAACTTTAATAAGAATTCCCTGGGCCAACACAGCAACACATCTTTGAAAATCTCCCAATATGCTTAAAAAACAGTCACAATTGAGAACCAGACGGTAGGATAAGAAGCACTGTGCTTGAAATTAAATGTCATTAAGAGCCACAGGGGAGGAAACAACTAATCAAAAATCTAGTGGTTGCCTTATATGAGCAGATCCTAAGTAACAATAACTTAAATAATAATTCAAAGGCCCTTGAACAGCAAGATCAGTTAAGTATTTGTGTTCAACTTGTTAGCTTCTGATTTAAAAACGCATCAGCACAATTATAGGGGAAAGAAATGCATCTTCTACCTGAATCACTTCTAATTTTGAAAAAAGTTTTCTTATTTCTACAATGCTACTGAGCCTTCTATATTACCATTTTGCTTATAACTGGGTACCTCAAAAATCTACATCACTAATGGCTGGGACCAAAGCTTTTAAACAACCTCCCT